CAAAAAAAACACTCCCCCCATATCTGGAAGAATTTAGCTGCCTTCTGAATAAGTGGCCCTGGCTAGTTGGGAGAAAGAAAAATGGAACCAAAGCTAAATATCTATGATTTTACCTATGTGGATGGAGTGCTTTTGCATATAGTTCTGTTGTTCCTATTTTTCAGTATAGGATTATTTTATGGAGTATTTTCCTCTCAATTATTCAGATTTGAAAACTGCATGAATATAGATGAATAGGAAAAATAAATGCAAGAAAGAAAAACAGCACCTTGCTATGTACATACATTTGCTGTTTGATCCAGCTGAAGTCTACAGTTCTGTTTGTAAACACTTTAACTCTCTTTTTTCTACAGAAGAAAAAGGGCAAGGTGAGTTCTTGGGCAATGTGCAGAGTGCCAGCAAGGAAAAGAGCATGAGCGATGCATGCAGCAGGAGCTGAGATCTTTCTGTGATTAGTCATTTCTCTGCATTAGGAAATTGATCTAATTAATGAAGGACACCACATGGAGACTGTTGTCAGCCAAGAAAATGTGTCTTCCTCCACTAAAATATCTATTGAATTTCTCTCTCTCAGGGAAAAGCTTTAGCCTTTCTACCTTATACAACCCACTTAGCCACCCCTAAATTTACTCTGAGTGCACAAGTGAAACTATTGGCTGGAGGGAAAGACACAAAAAAGGCCCCCAAGGGAAATATTCTGAAGATTAATGTGGCCAGCTCCATTTTGGATTCCTCTTTCATGTACAACGCCCAATGTCCATGGAACATGGGCAGATCAGGACACGATTCTAAAGCAGATCAACACATGAAAAGGACCCAGGAAATACAATCAGGCATTTTAATCTCTTACCTTTGAGATCAGTCTTTGAGAAAGACTGATTCTAATTAATACTACAGGAGTAGATGTTAATGTCTTGTAGCAGCTTTCCTTGCTTTGAATATACTAAAACAGATTAGTTGCATGCAGCTCTCCACAGCTGAGAAGAAATAAAGCAAGCTTTACAGAGTCAACAAACTCCTTTAGAAATACAGCAAACATTTTCTGGGTTCTATTTCTCTCTAACTGCTACTGTCTTTCAGTGAAAAGGGCAACTTTTTGTTCAAAAAATAAAGTGAAGTTTCATTTGCCGCTTGCTTCCTGGACAGGAAGACTGGATGCCCAAGATTGTGCAAGGTGTTTTGCAGCTTGCTTTCTAGCATGAAGAAAGCAGCAGCTTCAGTGATCCCTTTTTTTGCAGTTCTGGCTGTGGCTCCTGGGTGCCTGCTGGGGTGGGAGCTGCTGAGCATGCACTTGACCACAGAGTGGGGGGCCCACGCACGACCTCTTGTGCAATTTCCACTTTCATCCCTGCCTCTCTTTTGCTCTCTTCCCTCTTCTTCCAGCCTATCATCTTTGTTTCTGACAGAGCCAACAGCAATAAGGAGCTGACAGCAGATGAAGACTCGGGTAAAGATGGTGAAAAAAACAGCATAGACGAGAAAAAGGTCTCTGCAGCAGCTGGCAAGGCAGACAGCAGCATGGTCTGGCTAGCATGGCAGAGCACAGGGGCACAAAGAAGCCTCCTTAGATATTTAACTACTTCTCATCAAATCTTAACATAACTTGCATTGGTTTTAGCCAGTTGTTGCATCAGCTAAAATATTAATGTATTAGAGCACAGAAGAGACTCTCCCTTCTGATATTTAATGCTGGAGGATGCAGTTGCTTGAAAACATCTCCAGGTTGCCCTTGTTTCTATACGGGTCCAGGGTATGAGAGATCCCTTCTGCCAAGAAGGGACGTTTCTCTGAACCCAGGCCGTGGTGCTTGGAGCTCTGGTTCCCCACGTTGCTGCATGGCCACCAGAGCAGGCACAGGGTAAAGCAGGAGCTGCACCTTAACTTACTAGTGCACTTAGACAAGCGGAAATAAGAACTAAGCCAAGAGATTTGCCTTTTTTTTGCATGTAATTCCTGTAAATAAGTACAAATTAATATTTTTCCCCAGTACACGTTAGGTATAGGCCTTAAAGCTTAGGCTTGCTCTTTGCATGCATCCTACAAAAAGTGGTGAAAGTCAAGCAGTCTGTGAGATATTTGTCTTAAGAAGGGGGCACTCGCAGCTCCTCTAGTCCTTCTGGTCAATTCACAGACCAAACGCTTCTTGACTGCTCTAAATTTATTCTTTATAATGTTATGAAACACAAAATGAGAAGATAAATATCCCAAAGTGAAAATAACCATTTAGGCTTTTCAAAGAGAAATGAGAGCAATAGGATGAAGCTAAAAATTAAGTCGTTTCACCAAGGAATTCATTTAATCATTTACTGGAAGAAAAAGCAAGGAGAAAGGACCATGAAGATGATACGTTCCTCTAAAGAGCTCTGTTTTTGCTAGGAAGTTGTTTTGGAGCAAGGGTAATTGAACTGTGTGGCCCCTCGGGCTCCTTTCTCTTTTTCCTGGAGTTGGGATTGCATCTTTTCCTTGTTTTTCAGCGTGCTTCAGGAAAAGCTCGGGAGGCAAGTGAAGAGGAAAATCAGTTCAGGAACATTTTCCGACAGATTGCAGGAGAGGTGAGTACTCGGTCAATCCCAACCTGTGCCCTCAACCCAGCCAAGTCACATCCGCTACCTACCACTTCACAGCTTAGAAACACTGAAATTCTTCACCAAATTTGCCTTGAGATCTCAGACTAAGCAAGATCAAATAAAAAAAAATCTAATTAAGTACACATCTGTCCTCTGACACACATGTATTTGAAGAATCACAGCATGACTGAGCTTCTCATTGCATACAAGGAAACTGCATTTAAATTGACTTTCTGCTTCCCTGACGACTACATGAGGCCATACAGGAGTTCTTGAACAACTTTGCATCACGTAGAAACAAGTTAAAAATAAAATGCTCTCCAGTATATGCTTAAATAGGAAAGTTAAATATAGAAGAAGATCTAAGAATGTCATAATTTAAGAGACAGGTAATAGGATACAGAGATTTGCACATTTGGCTATTTGGCTTGTATGGAAGCCTGAAGTTACTTGTTATTCTAGTTACAATTTAACAAACTACATAAAATAGGCTTGACAACCTTAATCTTATTGCCTGAAAACACATTAACTCACTAACAAAAGCCTAGTTAGCTTTGTTTCTTCTCTGGTCAGCTATTTAGCAGCAGGATGATTGACTGGACAAAGAACAAGCTCTGCCCTTGCTCCTTGCAAAGGCAGAGCTCCCCTGGGGAGAAACCTCCCCAGGGCTGCTCCAGCCAGGGCTGGGGGATAGGTTGGGGCCAATGTTCTATGAACCTAGGCTGAAAAAGAACTAGATAAGACCTCGTTCTTTTAGGATATCCACCCACTAAAAAATCTGCTCAGTAATCAACAGTGCAGCTAATGGTCTTCTCACATTTCTCACCAGGACATGGAGATCAATGCCGAAGAACTCAGGAATGTTCTCAACAATGTTGTAAAAAAACGTGAGTTTTAGCACCTTTCAGTACATTTTTCAATATCTCTAGACAAAAAATCTATGACATGGAGTAATTGCTCCCTCTCACAAGCTGCACTCTTAATGAACTTGAAGCCTTAAATACTTAAGTTTCAGTTACACTTGTACGCAATCCTCATCTTTTAGCAGCCTGATATTTTCAAAAATATGTTGGCTACAAGTGATAAGAGTCTCAGTGAGCAAAATCTTGTTGAAAACAAGAAGCAGGATAATATAGCATTTCTAACAGTTTGCAAATGCCTTTAAAAGTAATTATCATCATCATCTAAAGAAGGGTAGACTTTTCCCCCCTCACCGTATAGCCAACTTCAGCCTATTGTCCCTGGGTTTGCTTAGCTAGCAAGTTAACATGAACTTTTCAAGAAGCTTGGAGGCTAAAATATACAATATATTTTCTGAAGTATACAACACTTTAGAAAAGTTCAATTCTAGTTCACAAGCAATACCTAAAAACCTGGGCTTATCTCCCACTCATTTCTTGAAAGATAAAGGAAATGTATTCTACTTTGGGGACTGTCCTACCTAAGAGGAAGGGGCACTTGCTGACTTGCATGATCTCTTCTCAGCTGCAAATGTTTATTTCAGATAAGGACCTAAAGACAGAAGGATTTGAACTGGAATCCTGTCGCAGCATGATTGCTTTGATGGATGTATCCTTTTCCAGCAAAAGGGGAGTGCTTGATACCACTCTAGCTGTATTTTTCCCCATGTCATTCGTTCTCCTACACACACTTGTCATCTCAGCATTAACATAGGTGACAAATAAAAACATCCCAAAAGACAGAACCATAAAATAAGTACATTAACAGCATCCTCCCTTAACTATCAGCTACTGGCTGGTTTATATACTAAAGCATAAGAAGTCTTTTTTTTTTTAAGCCTATTTGAAATTTATGTAAGCAGGGTTTTATTTTCCAACAAACTCTATGCACTTCTCTCTTACATTTCCAACATATAATACATTCTACTTCATAATCACCACCTACAGCATACAGAAAGCATCTCGGAGCAAACACAGTAAAACACAAGGTGCCACAGAAGCTCTTCTCTCCAATACCACACCACTCAGCTTTCCTACTTGACTTAAAGGACATAGCCACATTCAAACACAATCAGAACAAAACTGGAACTACAACCTAGAACATGACGGTTAAGCCTAAATACATTTTTAAGTAGCTTTAGACAATACTTTGCTTATTTTTAGTTTCATTTTAAGCAAATTAAGAAGAGCTTCATTCTAGGACAAAGCTCAGCTAAAGCTTCAGGGGAGAAACTTCACATGTGGAGGTATTTGGAAGGACCATCCTACTCACAAGCACTTTACAGCAACTAGAAGAGCAAAAATCTTTCCTTCACCACAAAGAAATGGAGCTTTACATCCTCATAACATATATAGTTCAAATTTGCCAAAATTGTTCACAAATATTTTACTACACACATCAGCCAACTCTTAACGCTGAAGAAATCTTCAACTAGATTTCACATTCATCCCTCTAAAATATGTAATTTTTTACCTGAACATTTGCACCACAGACCGATGGCTCAGGGAAGATAAACTTCGATGAATTTCGGCACCTCTGGGACAAGATTAAAAGCTGGCAGGTATTGCTGAGTTTTCACAGTGTTACTCTGCAGAACTTCCACAGCATAAAAGCTTGTGTTGGGAAAAAAAACCTCTGCACTCACTATAATAACACAACAACAACAACAAACCTTTAAAAATTATAAACAAGCTTTTAAAAATAAAATTAATGACTTTCCTCATCCTACTCACTGCCTAAACAAACAACTCACATCTCTAAAGCTCCACTGCTAACTCAACACTGGTATAAAGCTTTCCCTCATCAGAACTGAATGGATGCACATGGGGTTGACGAAGAGGATGATGGGAATTAGATCCAGGCCTCACAAATATTTTAATTATGACAATGAAGAGAGAGGATTTACAACATAAACTCAAGTCAAGCAAGGAGGGTCTTTAAGTGAGAGAGCCCTTTACCTTTCATGGTGTAAGATTGAATAATTATGCTTTGGGCCTGTGCTAACACCCTAGACGGCCAAGTAGGAATATAAGGTAGATGACAAAACCTTCAAGTGCCTAAAGCACATATCCCCGTTCTTAATTTTTTTGTTGTTTTTCCAGAAAATCTTCAAGCGCTATGACACAGATCACTCTGGAACAATCAACAGCTATGAGATGCGCAATGCAGTCAATGACGCAGGTACTTGACCCCATAGGCCCTGCCCAACAGCTGCAGAGAGGAGATGGAGCCAAAACCTCATTTTGGTCACTGTTACAGAGTAGAAATGGGAATGTCATGCAGCCTTCAAAAGACCCTAGAAAAATTCCAAAATTATTTTTTTCCCCCTGACTAGAGGTTTTCAAATACGCGAGCACAAGCATTGTACATTTACTGATCACGCCATCTTCTCTCACCAAAGTGCATCTTTGGTGCACTTGCTTATGTAGGTGGCAGGTTTCCCATAGCAAATTTATCATCTCCCCCTCCGCAGGGTTTCGCCTGAACAACCAGCTCTACGACATCATCACGATGCGCTATGCTGACAAGAACATGAACATCGACTTCGACAGCTTCATCTGCTGCTTCGTGCGACTGGATGCCATGTTCAGTGAGTGGCTCTCCTGGTTTCACTGCCCTTCTGCTCTCTCAGAAATACATTTTTGTGATTGATACACCCGAACTACCCCATATCCTTCCTACCTCCCCCAAAATAAGCCATTTCTTCAGTATCAGCTAAAGAAAAGGATAACAGAAATACCTGGTAACCAGGTACATGTCTGCACGCATCTGCATGTCACACAGGGAGCATAATTTGCTTTACTCTGTGGGATCATCATTACGCTTTGCAAGCACAAGGACTCACTCGATCCCCTGTATTTGTCTTTCCTTGCTTTAGGAGCATTCCATGCCTTCGATAAAGATGGGGATGGAATCATTAAACTCAATGTCTTAGAGGTAAATACTCTTTTTCTGGTTTTTCTAACACAGTGTCATGGCACTAAGTTTTCATCCTATTATTCATTTCATGTGTTCTCAAGGAAGCCTATCAGCGCTGGTCTGAAACTGTCACCCAGTTGCTATGAGTCCACAAAACCTGCCAAAAATGTTGCTATTGATTTTTTTTTCATGGAAAATGTACATATATATGCCTGCCAGCTATGTATATAGCTCTGCCTGCTATGGCTGCTGTGCAAGACACCTGGAAGGCACACAACAGTCTTTTCGTATCATCATTAATGTTTTTCAAAAACATTTTGAATGTTTTTTTTTTTTGAGGCAATTTAACGTACTGTAAATGTGTTAACTAGTAATGGAGGTCAGCTTAGCTCTCCTGCTCTGTATTCCACTTAAATTCCAACTTCTCCTCTAGTGGCTGCAGCTCACGATGTACGCGTAGCATAAGGACGCCCTCAAGGTACCTGCTCAATGTGAGCAGCTCTGCTCCTCCCCACACGCAAACACCAACCTCCATCGGCGCAGACTTCACTTACGGAGCTGGAGACCACGAAGGGCTTTGACAAGAGACAACCCAACTCCCACAGGAGACCAGTGCTCGTGTTCTGTAATAACTTCTGCATCATCTCTCGGTGTTGAACTTTGAGCAACAAGGACTTACTTAGGATGAAGTTAGACTTTCTCTGCGTGGTAAAGTCATGGAGCATGTGCCACTATTTTGCTTAGGCTGGAAACTAGGGGTCTTGAGGCTGGTACAAAGGCAAGGCTGGAACTGTCTGAACCGTGAATGTTATTAGTACCACCTTGTAATCAGTTGACTGCGATTTGTCCTGATAATCGTTTCCATCACTGCAGCCCCTTCCCAATTTCAACTGAGCATTTCATGTGAAGCTAGATAGATCTACATTAAAATTATGCATCCTATTCATTTATGTTGTTACAGATGTGTCTATGAGAGTGAGTTGGTTTCTCCTACACTAGGAGCGTGGAGTCAAGCAAAATAAGCTGCTCTCCAGATACATTTTTAAACCTTGGCCTAGTGCCCCAGCAAGTGTCAGAACTGAGAAATTACTTCTCAGACACTTACTATCCCAATACTATCTTAATTACACATTGGATTTTTCTTTTAACTGTAACTGCTTTCTCTGTAAGATAGAGAACTGAATTTGCAATTACAGAAATAAAACAGCTGTTAAGCCGGAGTCCTATTTTGTTGGAAGCAGTTTGGATGAAACGACAAAGAGCTAACAGAGTCGGCTTTAACTTCAAAATGTATTTCACCTATATCCCAACTGCTGTCATTTTTGTCCCACTGGCTATCATTTAAAAGCTCAGCTTTCTCGTAGCTTAGTAAAATGCACGTCACACTAGAGGCATTAATGCAAGGTTTAGAAGTACAATTATCACATCTTACTATTGTAAGGTATTCTCAGGATTGTTGTGTTACAAGGATTGTTGTGTTAATGTGCAAGTCAAGGTTTAATAACTACCTTCCTTACTACATCAGCTTCCTAGATTTGATGAAAATTGCAACAGGAGATAAAAATTACTAATTGCACCATAGCAAAAAATTAATGGATCAATAAATTAAAAGATAGCTGACCAAAACAGAGAGTAACTATACAGGAGGTTTTTGGTATAGGTTATCCACCACTACAATGATTAACACCACACTCAAGCTGAGATAAAAATAGTTCTTGAGGGTATTCTGTTATTTCCTTATTTTGTGCCTTCCACTTCAGACATTAAGAAAATCATAGATACTTTATGATATCGTGGTCATTTAGGGAAGACTATTGGAATGTTTAAGTACAATTGCTTTTCTCACTAGAATGCGATTATCTGGGCTTTAGTTCTCCAGCACTGTGAAGTAAAAAGCAAGCCACTGCTGTGAAGTGCAACTGCAAAAAAAAATTCTTGCATCCACTGAAAGTTATTCTGCCAAGTAGCACATTTACCTGACAGTGTTGGGAGGAAAATAAAACAAACAAAACCCCCACCACCTTTTGGCTATAAAGCTGAACTTTGCTTTAATTAAAATCAAGCTCTCAGGAAGACCGGACTACTAAGAGCCCTGGGTTCCAGTCCTGTGCTCTCCCCATAAAACTATAATTTTCCACATTTAAAAAACCCATGGACAGGATTCTGGACGCGCTCCTCAAGGTGGGCCCTCCCTGGCATGCTGGAGAGCGAGCTCTGGGCAGCTCCGGAGAGGCTCCCTTGGCTGCGGTCATGGAGCCACGGCCCGGCGTGTGTCACAGCTGGAGGCACCACTTGCCTTTTCCCTCCTGGAATAAACGTTGTCTTCAGATCCTGCTCGTGGGAAGCGAGAGCTTGCACGTCCCCTGCCCGCGCCGGAGACAGGCCGCTGGGATACATGGATTCCAACTGCCCCGACGGGATCTATACAGCCCACTTTAAAACACACAAATCCACAACAAAGTCAAGTTCTGCAGAACCTTACCGAAGAATTACTCTATTCAAAACAAAGAAGAATGAGGCTGACAAACCACATAAAGAACTTTTTATTTTATTTTATTTTTATTTTTTTTTTTCCTGGGTAAAGTTTCATTATTATGCTTGCAGCCTCGTACCAAAATGAAAGAGGAAAACATGGTCAATTTGTGCACATGTGCTACACAGCTTAAGTTATTAAATAATCAGTCATGTTTTATTCCACTTTCATTCTTCAGAAAGACTGTTAAACGCTTACAGCAAAATGAAACTGAGAAGCTGGCAGGTGCATATAACAAAACGTTACCTACACAGTTTGCTCTTCACTGTCACTACTAAATATTTTACAAACAATAGCCAAAACCGTTCTCTTATCGATCCTTACATATTCTGCAATTCTGGACAGTGGACTGTGTGAGTAATAGTACCGTACAAATCCTGAGAACTGGGATCCATCTGTACCTGGGTTTCAATTAAAATGGAAACAATATTTTCTCAAAACCACATGTTTATCCAGGGAAGTTACCATTTATTGCAAGTTTGGAGTTTTCCAATACTGTTTATCTTGATCCAGCAGCAATAGAGTGTACAGTCTGAAGATGTGCATTTAAAACTGCACTGTTGTGAACGCACTGCACAGCCAAAGCCCTGCTATTTTTGTAGTCAACTCATGCATCTTTTAAATAGCCTGCACCCCACACAGATGTTACACCAGGTAAACAGAAGCTGGGGTATTTAATGCACCTTGTACCAACAGATTTGACAGCTTTCCCTCCCGCCCCTTTCCACATAGAGACAAGGGGCAGGCAGCTTTGCAGCAAAGTATTAAAATATCTCTTGCTGACCACAAGTCACCAGTGTGGAGCTGAGGCGGCAGCATTAAGCCATATAGTACTGCACTGTCAGTCTGCTGTTGTTTTTCACTGTTTTGGAGGAAAAAAAGAACCAGAAATCTAGACCAAGATTATGTCCGCATTACCCTGCGATTCAGTGTACGTGGGGAATTTTGGTGGTGGTTCTCACATGTTTGAAGGGAATGACAAAATCATTTTGGGTAACCCATGTCCCGCTCTATAGCACAAAGGACAATAGCTCTGAGCACTTTATATCCATGGGGGAGGGTCACAGTGTGGTTAAACACAATGTCAGTGCTGAAGGGAGGAAAATGGCGGCCTGCAGCCAACACAACCGCCATTTTAGTCAACCATATACTAAGTTCAGAGCTCACTGTTCAGTATTTGAGTAATACAAAAATCTCACAAACCTCACCTAAACACAAAACACCCCCCACACCTCTAGTCACTCTTTCACTCACAACATTTTACTTGCACAAAGAACAAAACCAGTTTGAATATAGTCGGCAGAGGTGCTGCATTGCTTTCCTCACAAAGGCTACTCGTTCCAAAATTTGGAAAAATCTCCCATTCCCAAAGTTACTCCACTTGTTATCTGACTGGAGGCTATCAGAAGGTAGAACCCCAAAAAAGAGGCAAGACTGGCGAGGATCTCAGATTAATGGCTCCGAAGCCACGGCATTAGCCTACCAGCTGTCGTGCAATTGCCTCCAGAAGAAGGGCCTTTAACGTAAGCTCATGCAATTCCAGCTGAACAAACAGCAAGTCCGAGTCTGGAGTATTTCACATGATGAAGCAGAACAGCTTTCAAGATGCCCTCAGGACAACGCTCAGGACAGCAACACAGCGTTTTCCTCTGAGCACCCAAACAATTTTCTTTCACAAAGCAAAATTTTATATACACTCACCCAGCTCTGCAATCTCCCTGCCTCTTGCTCATTTTAAGATTCTTTTAAGATGTATCTGGTATGACCTACCAAATAGCAAAGACAGCGCTACTACAGATGGATTTCTGAAGTCCAGCCTTAAAAGGGAGGATTGTTTTCAATGACAGATAAGAAATATCTTGGATACCTTGAAACAGACTACAGGAAAGGGAAGCCTGCTTATACCAACTAGGTAAAACCTATAAGCAAACAGGAATGCAAATACAGTGTAATAACTGTTATCGACACTTAATGAGGAAGACCTTTATGCATTCCTGAATACACTCACCAGCTGAAGGAACATTAAGAACTGCAAAAATCTACTCTCACACACCAGCTTCCAGCATTATACAAACACTCCCCATGCTTGTCCTTGCAATATACAGCTCCACACCTTCACTTCAAGCACAGTTACGAAGGACAGCTGGAAAAGTTCACACTATTTCGTACCTTCACATGCTCCCTCTTTATGGTTCAAAAATTCTCAAATATCAATAGTTTTGGAAATGATTTATACGTCTAAAAATCCCTCAGACTAGGTCTGAGTCGCATACTGGTTTTCTTTGCCTGCTCCCAAAGAGTTTAACAAGAAAACTCCCACAAAACAAACAAACATAAAAAAACCACAGCAGGGCTTTGGAAGCATGAGGATTCCTATGTGTTTGACATAGGATGCTACTGTACCTCATTCCTAGCTTACCCCTACCTCTCTTGAGAAGAAAACACATGAATGTCAAGTAACTGCAGAGAAGTTACACTCCTCAGCGGGGGCAATGTAGAAGCAGGTTACTTCAGAGAAGGCCCTGAAGTCTCCTGGTTAGTGGCCGAGCAGCCCCACGGGCTTCCTCCGTCACTTCTTGGCCTTAAAAGGTTTCTTTGTGATCAAAGAACAAGGCTATAAAACATATTTTGTCTGAGGTTGGTGTGTCTGAGCCTCAAACTAGTAGTGAATGCAACATCTAGTAAAATGAGTACATTCTACTGATTTGCAAATCACTAGAAGAATTTATAAGCAACTCACAGTTTGGAGACTGGGTTATTTTTATCTTCTGCATACAGTTTGAAAGAACCTCTGATTTTTTATTCTCAGCTGCAGGTTAGGCAAAAGGGAACAAAAGGCTCTTTGCTAAAAGTCGTGTTATTTAAGATAACATCTGTAATGGAAAAAAAAGTGTTTCACTGCCCTTGTGGACAAATTAGGTTTGCCACCCCCAGGGGCAACTGCAAAGGAGCCCTGGGCAGTAGAAAGTGTCTTGCACTCTGCAGCAGCTTCTCTGTGGTACATGATATGCATCAGTGGAAACAATTCTTCCCCATGTGACGTGCATTTTGCAACCCCAGCCTCTGCTTGAAATCCTGCTTCAACACAACAGAAATACAACTCCGAAGTGGATGCACTTGGACACTTCATGCCATTACAGTTCTGTTAGTTTGCGATGCCACGAAGATACAGGACTACAAGGTCAGTGGTTAAGATTCCCTACCTGATCCCACTGATGGGATAATTTGGCAAGATGAGCTACCAAATAAAACCAGGAATCCAACTTATGTTGTATCAAGATAGCAGTGATTTTGCTGGTATTTAATTGTAAAGCTAAAGAGTTGATACTAGTTCCTCTTTTTTTTTGTACAAAGGTACCTATATTTCAGGAGATTCAAGTGACCAGGTGGGCTAGTGCAGCCCCTGTCAGGTTTGTTTTGTTTCTACTGGCACATCTCTTCAAGAAGTGACTGCTTTCCTCTAAAACCACCTCAGGAGGCAGAATTTTGAGGGCAGTCTGCAGATATTGTGCCAGTTGTAGCACTTTCTAGACAAAGAATAAAAATAGGCATAAATTAGAGTAATATAAAAAAATTAATTTATTCCAGCTCTCCATAAAATACCTTGGTTTTTTTCTTATGAAGAAAGCCAAAATGTACACTGGACATTCAGGTTGCACTTTCAAAATTTGTGATATTCTATTTGCAGAATTTTATTAAAATTGGCTAAAAAACTGGATACAACATAAAAACAGACATGTCTTAATTAGACACTGAACAGGTTTTAAAGTGAGTTTGCAAACATCAGCACTCATTGTAATCTCAACACCCCTCTGGACTTGCAAAAGACTCTCAGAATACACTTCTTCAAAAAACCAAGGCAGACAAGAGGGGGGAATATTCTTATCTGTCAATGCATTAAAAACTTGCAATAATCTTCCATTTGGGCCAAGTCTTAACAGACCAGCCTTATTTCTACAGAGTGCAACACAATCTGCAGTCTCTGCAGCAAGGCCTTCGAGCCCCACTACCGTTTTGCATTCCAAATTGGAAAAGAAAATAAGGAAAGGTTGAAGAAATGGGTGTTATTTGGAATAATTCTGATGTATAAAATTACTTCCCAATGTGGGAGGTGAAAAGCTTCATGAATCAATCCTGCTGTCATCCTCAGCATGTCTTTCAATGTGTCCTACCGCATCCTAGAAGAGGACAAGAGTAGCCAGTTAAGAACAAAACAAGAAAATCCCACACCTTGGCAAAGCATTCTAGAAAGTTCAATGAAAACAGCATTCTAGATAAAAGAAATTATTGGCCTAGCACTTCTAACAACTCATGCCAAGCTATTAAATCACATACATAATATAAGGCATCTCTCACACAACATAATCCAAGGCAAATAAGAAACAGCTACCTTTTGAAGTAGAGGGTTGTATCAGATAAATTACATTATATCCAAAGCCATCACTCAGAAAGAAGGATCTACTTTTGCCTTTCAGTTCTCAGAGAAATTCTGATCAACATTCAAGAAGGCAATTTTATATTGCCCAGGGGCAACGTGGATTTCACTGGTCAGTGTATGGACAGCAACCACCCGACAATTCTTCAGTTCCCCCCTTCCCCCCCCATCTCATTTACTCACATTTACTCAGAAATTTATAGATTATATTTAAGGCCTTTTTGTCTTTCTTTTTAAGCAAACCAAACCAGTGCACAGAGCAAACAAAACAGCCTCCAGCATCTACAAAAATAGGAGGGAGAGATGAACTTGCCCATCCTATAAATAAAACTCTACTTAAAGACTTGATAAACTCTAAAATATAGTAACCAGAGCTGCTTCTAAAACCTCGAAGCATTAATGATTCCCTTATCAGCTTTTAAGATCATATAATCAAAACAATTTCGAGCCATCACACATAGCTGCACTCTTCATCCACCACACATTGACATCTACTAGCTCTTTCTGGCCCTAACTACATTGAGTTAAGCCTGTTCAGGCTAGAAGAATATAACCAACTTCAGGAGATACAGGAGCATGTGCTACGGTTGTGATTATAGCATGTTCTTTATACCTGGGTGTTTTAACCTTTCTATTCTTCTGCTAAATGCAACCACATTTCCCTCCACCACATACCTGCTTGGAACCTTTCCTGGAAGTAAAGAAGGCATCACAGTTCTTCCAACGACACTTTAGGGTCTGAAAATTTGGGTTGGTGTGGTCAGTTAGCAAGTGTTGTTTCAGATGGTCCACAACTCCGAAAATCAGCGAACATCCATGCCACTGGTGGAAAAAAAATCATGTCAACATAAGCCAGAGTGAAAGAATTTTAGCAAATTCCTTTATTTTTTTGCAACTCAACAATATTCTACCAAGACTGTTCACAGACACATTCCTCCTACAGAGTTTTCAGCCATCTCATTTCACCTTCATTCTCAGTGGTCACTAGCATTTTAGTTAAGAGCTTTACAGAGGTTTTTCCCTGACTTTTGCCAAGCCTAGACCACCAGAAAGGAAAAAATAGGAAGAGATGAACTAAACCCTTATAGAATTTGAGCTTATGTCAGATGAAGTGATTTTAGGAGTTAAACTAAACTTACTTAGCACAGTAAATCAGTTTTCTGTGCAATGCAGATAGAGTTTTGGGGTTTAAAAAGTTCTATGCCACTATATAAAACTCTTGAAAAAAATTAAGATTCTAGTATTGACTTTCTCCAAATCACACACACGCTAAAAGATGAGACACGGTACTTACTTATTTTCAGTTATTTTAAAAAGATTACTTAAGTATAATAAAAGTTAAGGCATTCAAGACTAAATTATGACACCCACCATCAGCAGATTAGTCTGAGAACTAGAGCAAAGAAAGATTAAAAGCACTTGGGCCATTACCCAGCAACGATAATTCTGCATCAGGTTAAGCCTCACAGCTCTGACACTACCATCATAGCATCCAGTGTAGATCTGTAAAAGAAAAGCAGCAAGTAAATGGCCAGGAACCTTATCTTGCAGTTAGTGCTCCTGAATCAACTGCATACCTTTGCCTAGCTTCTTTCCAAGTTAATAGAGGTTTCACTGGGGGTGATGGGTTTTTTTTCTGGCATCTGTGTAGCTAACTTTTACTACAGTTAAACAGGACTGAAACACTTGAAAAGAGGAAATATTTTAATATCTCTAGACTCTTCAGGGCAATCATCACTGTAAAGAGAACTATCGTTCTAAGATTACAAGTTAGAACATGTTTTTTCCCTAGACAATAGTATTATCTAAATACAAAGCTATTATAGCAAGCTGCATTTGTGACTGACATTTCTAAGTTTTTCTGTTTAACAGAGTCAGAGAGCAGGTTGATTTAGTTATATTAAAAGAAAAAAAACCTGCAATTTCCACAAGCCTATGCAAGAGAACTTGCTATATGAGACCAACAAAAAGAAGTTACCATGCTCTTATGGATGGTCATGCACATGATCATGTCTGTGTGGCCTCCATAGACTTGCAAGCGGTCATGTGACTGGAAAAGAAACAGACATTTAATAGCACAATATTTTATAGATACTTTTCATGGATGTGCAAGAGGCAAAAACACTTCTAAGTGCAGTTACCTGAATATTTGGCACACACCCTCCTCCCCAGTAGACTCCAAACTTCATAGCCACCATGAATACTTGCTGTTTTGCTTGCATTGTCATTTGCTTTTTATTGTCTAACTAAACAGTTAGCATTTCAAGCAAAGAAAACTGACATATCCCCACTTCTCTGTGCACTCCTCATCCTTGCAAAACCTGGTTCTTGGATGACTCTGGTTCTACAAAATGTTAAGGTAATTTTCTTTAAAACTGGCCCTGAAGATGACAGTATATTTTGAGTGAGAGGAAGAAGAGGCATGGGCCAGGGACCAATAAGGCTGACTCTGGAACCATTAATGACAATAACACATACTAGATACATTTCACTGATAATTATTTTCTTACCTGTAGTTCATAAACACGAACAAATTTATCCAGGCAGGCAGTCACCATCACCTTCCCCAGGATGTTCACAACTGTTACTGCGTGGTTATGGCCTTTATAGATGCGCACCAGCTCTCCAGTCTGTCCAAGACGAAGCAGAAGACCAAAGGATTTTACCCTCAGCACCCTTCCTTAGTTAGCTACAGTGCAGAGGCACATTAGAAAAGTCTTATTGCTTCCCTTTTTGGAAGCTAGTCTGCCCCAACAGCCAGTCAAGAACTTTGGAAAGACTGAGACTTTACAGCACAGGATTTCACTGCCTTAACAACAAAAGCTATTTTAACTTTATATACTACTTACGTGAATGTTGTGAGCATGGACAGACTGATCGCTGGAGCCACTGAATACCAGATCATTCACAACCTTATCAAAAGGGGAAAAAAAAAGTTTAATTTCTGTAACAGCTAAGAAAATTAGTAGGTCAAGCACTGCAGAATAGCAGGGAGTTACCTTTTTTCAGTTTCCAGAGGCTTGTATACTGAGGGTATATGAAAACCAACTTTCCCCTTTTCCCCTGCCCAACTCCCCCCTTCAAGTCTCCTATTTTGACAAACTCATTTTCCATGACTCCCTGCAGCTTCCAATAACCCAAAATAAATAACTCCTAGGTACAGCAAGAGCAGCAGCTTTGCTGGGAACATCAGACAGGGCAGCAAGACAATATTCCCACCAAATCATTCCAGTTTCTGTGATTAAAAACGGCAAGGCCGCCCAGCCCCTACTACACCCTGCAGAATATTTGCTGAGGAAGAAAAAGGAGAAAGCAAGAATGAAAAGCACCCCATGGTCTTAAGCATTCCTTGCCAAAGCAGTATTTCCAAGGACACTCACCTTCATGCAGAGGATGGTCTTGCTGTGGCCTTCGAGCGTGCGCAGGAGCAGCCCGTTGCGCGCGTCTCGCACGCTGATGGTGCAGTCGTAGGAACCCACCACGAGCAGCTTGCGGGCTCCCTCCTGAGCCGTGGCGAGGCAGCTCACTGCTCTAGGGCCGTGGCACTCAAAGGTGTCCACTTGCTTGTTGTTCTGTTGAAGGCAGGGGAGAAAGATGTTTAAGAGTTCAAATTCTGCTCCTGACACCATGGCAAGGGAACTGAGCGCCTTCTGTGCTGTACATGGAGTAGCACCTGGAGTGCATTTGATGCAGCACCTGATTTTAGCTCAGTTGCACACAGTTTCAGTAGTGGTAAGAGTTACCTCTGAAGGGCTAAATTTTCAAATTGAGGAAAAGATTCCTTATTTTAGGCGTGGATTTTCTGTAATGGTCCATTAAGCCCACCTTACAAGTTAGGGCAAGGAGAAAAAATAGCACTAATTCTATAAAGATGAGGGGAAAAAAAAACCCACATGTAAGTACACATACATCTCTGTTCTCCCTTCCTTGAGGGAAGTCAATACAGTCAATGAAGTCAATACTTTGCAATACCTAAACAGTACATACTTTTATAGCAAGAAAGGTTTTCCCCATCATGAATTGAAGATAAAAGCTACTTGAGAACACTACAAGATTTTCACTAGGATGTTATTGTTCAAGTCAAGATGCCTTTATCAATAACCATAAGATGTGACTTCTTTTTTTCTCTTCTCTGCCAAGGATAAATTTGAGAAATTATTCTAGGATAAACATAGAAGAGTCATAGTAATTTAAATAATCACTCTGCTTTCCTCCTTTTATGTCTACAGTCATGTAGATGGTGCCTAAGCCTCTTTGACAAGGAAAAGAAAATGGGTGAAGGAGCCTCTTCTGTAACACCATATGGAGGAGGGAAAAACAGCAATACTGTGTCTTGTACTGATTTCATGAGCAAAAGAATATTGACAGGCAGTCATTCCTATCAGTAAACTTCTCATGACACGCAACTCGTAGGCCAGGCAGAAACTCAAAATCACCAGAAGTGTGACAATAACAAAGCAGTTAAGAGAAAGGAGATGAACAACATGCACTGACAAGCACAAGACATAAAAGTGACCTTGCACTTAGGCCAACATGCTTGCATATGTACTTCCTATTGAAGAGAAAGAGCAGGAAGAAGCAAAATGTAGAGAGAAACAACACTGCAAGAAGCTTTTACGTGACAATATTTGGACACACTGACCTTTATGCTGAAAGTAACCACGCTGCCATTTGCAAGGCCAGCATAAAGGATCCGCCATCTACTGTGCAAACAGAGCACTCGATCTTCCAGTCTAAACTGCTCCATGCACTCTCTGGTCTGGCAGAAGGAAGAAATTTTTAAAACATTTCATGAACTGAAAACAATTTAGGGAAAAGATTCTGAAGTGCCCTTCTAACCCTGGCACTGGAGAAAACCACCACAACCACCACAACCTCTAGAACAAAATCAGTTTGATCCTGGTTTTTAAGCTTACAGTACAAATTGCATATATGAAGAATACACTGTTAAGTGTTTGAGTTCAAGGAATCCCTTTCAAGTTCCTTATGGCGAAGCACCATGAATCACTCAGCTTAGAGGGCAAGGCTCGACAGTCTTGGACAGTTTGCCCTCGGCGCAGCTATTTCAGCCTTCAAGCTGCCTTTTTTTTTTTTTTTTTAATCTTTTATTCTTAAGAAGACCAGCTTTAGAAAGCCTCGGACTGCTCCATTTTCATCTGCCCTCAGATCTCAAAAAGCTGACCTGCAGAGAGAACTGTGCCCTCTTCAAACAGTGAAGGAAGCTACAAATACAGTCAGTCAACTTCTGTATTGATGGACAGGCAGTTGTCCAGCATTTCAGAGTTCCCAACATTCAGCTAATCCCTGTCACATCATTCTGGAAAAAATGCTGCAACACTTTTTGGCTGTGACAGCCAGAAGATTAGTGTAGTGAATCACTCAATGGTTGGTTTGGGTGTTTTTCCTAATCCAGCCTCACCAGGTATGAAGTGGGGCTCGTATACGGTTTGGAAAGGTTTATAAGGTCTATTTTATATTTGCAAAGTCCACAGAAAGAACCACACAGAACGGCTGGTGCTGGAATGGGCTTCTAGAGACTAGCTGGCCCAACGCCCCACTTGAAGCAGGTCACCTGGGGCACATTACCATGATATCTGTCCCTGGAAACACTCACATAAAAGAAGCAGTAGAAGTTCATCAGTGGAGTTCAAAAAAATACCTTGATATTGTAACAATTGATAGTGTGGTCACTTGAGCCAGTGTAGAGCGCTGCATTCTTCCCATTTGTCTGAGTGACGAGTAGGCAGTTCACTTTTGAAGTATGGCCTTCAAAGACAGCTACACACTTCCTGCTCTAAAAAGCAAAGCAAAGCAAAGGGTCTGTTAACATGTTTGTCTGCAGTGCATTTCAGGATCCATGCAGCATGGAGTGAGGTGGGACATCCAACAAAAACAGCAGGGCCAACACAATAATCTCCTCTTACCCCTCTCATAGCAGGGAAGGATGGGAAGAAGGGAGGGGGAAAAAGAGAGATTTGAAGAAAACATAAGATAGCATCTTCAGCCCTTGAAAAAGCATCTACTTAACTATTACACTGTTGCCTCAGCCTTACTTACAACCAGATTGTAGGCACAAACAGTTTTGTCTGCTGAGCAGGTGTATAACAAATTCCCAAAAATCTGAATAGCATTCACTGCAGCCAGGTGTCCTTCAAAGCTCCCCTCTGTAGGTTCTTCATCCTCACCTGGCTCTGAAGATACTTCTGCAGATTAGAAAGACATGTGCTTTGGTTATGTGAAAATACCCATGCCTACATGACACTTTTTTTTTATATATATATTATTAAACAGAACTATTTTGTGGGCTAAGTAAAAATAGATCTCATAGTAGTTCTCATCTGGAGCCTGTAAGTGGCAGATATAAAATGCTGGGAAGACCTTTGAACATTATTAAACCCAGAAAGATTTTTAACATAACAAAAGAACTGTATTATTTGTTGTTTTATCCCACACACTAACAGGAGTCTGTGGAACAGAAATAGGGATAGGGGATGGGTGTTGCTGAGGAGTCAAAACATCCTCACTATGCTAAGTGAGGAGCACGTATGATTTTCTACCTAATTTTTAGTGCAGATTTTTATCTTTAGGACAAAATTCCTCTAGAAGTAGCTTGATTTTTACCTAATTCAAATTCCTGCAGGATACCATGTGCACTTGAAGCAGAGAAAAAAAAAAAAAAAGTATATATATAGCTTAAAATGATATACCTGAGGAGTTCTTTGAGCCTCTTAGTGATGATATGGAAGTCTGTGTCTCAGCCACACTGTAACACAAAAATAAAAAGTAATGATTGGACATTGCAGGCACACTCAGAGTAGTGATGTAAGCAATGCACCTGAATATGACTAGGCATTACGTAGAATATTGTCTGTGACAGATAAACTCAAAAATTAAGTTTCCATGGAAGAGGCCCTTCTTCTAAACATTATAGAAATTAGTAGGCAATAATATACATTTGTTTATTAGTTCAAAGAAACAAAATCAATTTATGATAGGTAGAAGGACACTGCCCTTTGCCACCAACCCCCATCCCTTACCTCACTGCTAAAATTTCTGAATGGAATAACCAGTTACAGACACCGTAAAGCTTTCTGAATAGCTGGGAGCAGGAATCATCTTTCAAAAGTAAAAGCAATAATCAATATTTGTAAGATCTACTGTAATCTCACCTTTTTTTCACATCATCCCTGTAATTTGTGCCAATCTCACTGGTCGAGCTCACTTCATCATAACCAGAGCAAGAGGCCTCTAGGACTGCCTGGTCAACGGAGCTGCGTGAACCCCTCTTAGATGGGCTGTCTGGTTTCTCATCTCCTGACACGGATGAACCAACGTCAAGCACCTCACACTGAGGGGTTGCAAGTTCCACCAGTTCCAAAGAAGAATCACTGTCGTTCTCATCCTTGCTTCTTGCTGTCTGTGCAGGCCCCCCATCCTCCTGTCTTGGAGGAGTGGACGTAGTAACCTTGTCCCCTTTAGGGACCTTTCCACTCTTGACTTTCCTGACGGGCTTAGAGTCGATTACATCCTGTTCTGTATCACTGTTCTCTGGCACATGAGCTGCCCTCAGGGTTTTCTTCTTCCTTAACTTTCTCCTTCTCCTGTTCCCCTTTTCTGCTGGTGTCAGAGTGGTTGCTGTCTGTTGTTCACAGAGCTCTGCTGTCAGCTTGGGGTTTTTACCTACTGGCATTTCTAGAAGGGCTGAATGATTTGGCAGAGAAGTGATACACTGCTCTGCTAAAAAGCTCTCAGGCACTGTTTGAATTCCTTCTCTCCTGCAGAAACCAGACGGAGAGGAAGAGTTCTCGGGGCGTCCTGCCTTTCCTCTCTCCACAGCAGCCTTGCGAGCATCTTGATTAGCGTGTTGGAAACAGCCTGGCAGCTCCGACAGGGATACAGTTGCAGAGATGATTGGGTACACTGGAGTTTTCTGGCTGATCTCTTCTGAAGAAGAGAGACTAATGTTACAATCATTCTGTACAGCAATTAATATTTACACAGAAAAATGTTTTCCTTGTCTTTTTTTGTTTATACTCAAATATAGATGCAAAAAATGTATTTTTGTATGTTGGATGCTTACATGCACATATGGATCCTCTGCTATTTCAGTCAGCTATTCAGCCTATTAGAAAAAAGGGAGCAGGGGCAGAAAAAGTTTATCTGTGTAACCAAAAAGAAAAAAAAAAAAGGGCACATACTTCAAGCTGCAGTCTGACCATATGCTTTTAAAGCTCTGACAGAAAACCTCTGATAAATCCAATAGTGTGGGCTTAAGAAGCTACTTCCATTTGCAGTGTGCCCCCTTTCCAAAAGTCACCATTACAGTAGGAGACTGGTAGGAACCAAATGCAGGACCAAAGCCTCAGCTGCTCACTGCCATAATTTGAAGACCTTGTGCTTAACCCATCTACATTAGCTATTTCTACTATGTTGCCCAGACCTAAGTGCAGATGAAGCACACAATTCTCATTCCAATTGTTCCTCTTCCCTGGGAGTGGCAGCACCCCAAGCCATCAGAGCAAGTTAGCCTGTGGTGGCCGCCTGTTTCATTTTAATTTGAAGTTAATGTGAACAAAGGGATCCCAGCTCACAACTGAGACAGGCAGCAACCACAGCTGTGTTTCCCATACTCTAGAAGTTGCAATTGCAGCAGTTACAGCCTCCACAAGAATGTTTCAAGTTTGTTGCATGTATCAGGCGAAATTCCATAACTCAAATGACAAACTAGCAATATTTCAAATATTTCCTTAAAGCTAGCTTTTTTAAAGCAAACAGAAACCAAACACACCATCCTTCTGCTCCAGCATTTCTGCTTGTGAAACACATGAAGAAGTCTGGAGCACAGAATTCACATTTTCTTCTGAAACTTTTGGAGACATGGGCTCTCGTTTAACTTGTATGGAGGAGTCGGGAGGAGTGGTGGGTGTGATGCTAGCAGAAGACTGGAATGGCAATGATGAATTTACATGGACAGAGGCTGCCAGTGGAGGTACAGAAGGAGACAAAGTGTCCAAAGGGGGCAGAAAGGAGCCTGCAGGAGTTAACTCAGTTCCCATCTGAGATTTGCTATTTCTTCTTTCAGCAGAGTTGCTGCCGGGAAGTTGCTCCAACTGTTCAGAAGGGTCAAGTGTTTCTAGTGGCAAAAGAGGAGAGGAAAATAAACATATGTTTCTATTTTACAAAACTTTGAAGTAATGTTTAGTGGTGCCGAGAACTCACTCTCGGTGCACACAGACAAGGAAGAGAAAAATTTGGAAAAAAAAAAGAACTCAAACCCAAATCCCACCGCCCACCAGATGGCGCAAGGAAGCAGCTGGATCATCCCTCTATCCCTACCCCGAGCAAGACTGACTTGCATTCGGCAACCCTCCAATTTTCTTCCACGTTTTGAAAGAGCAAATTCGAGTTATAAGCGTTTTTTTACAAGTGACAAGAGGCGGCATTCACCTGCTGCAGCTGCATGGCATCTCATACCTTGTAGCCCCTGCAAGACCTGGATTCTCTGACTTCTTAGCGCACTCATTTCCATGGTGATCTGTAACACAGCAGTGGTTTAAATCAGTTCTAAGGCAATTCCTAATGGTGCTAACTTCTAACTCGGACCATCTCTAAAGCCCAGAGTTACCTGCTGCTTTAACACAAGGAACCGTTGAACTTCAACATAAGCTGCCTGCAGGGTAGCCCTGGCCTGCAAGAGGCTGCTGTCCACGCTGTGCAGGGACTTGCTCAACTCCTCCTCCCTCAGAGAGATGGCCAACAACTGGTCCACCTGGGAGCGCTCTGGAAAAGAAGCGGAATGTGACTGCTCTGCCCCACACCTGAGGGCAGCTCAGTGATGCCAGCACCTCCCAAGGCAGGAACATGTAAACCTGAGCAAGCATCCTCTGAGAGCGGGAAAGGAAATATCTGGAATTGCCTCCTGGGCCCCAAATAAAACACAGATGATTAATTCTCATCTGTGGTAATGTGGAAGTGTTAGGCATCTTTGAGAAAGACCTGCTTAATCCTCAGATAATGGTTTTCTCAGATAAAAGGTAGGAATGAGTCTCTCCATATTCTTTTTCCAAAAAGTACTGCTGTAGAAATCGGAATCAGAGCACAGCCTAAACTGTGATGAGACTCCAGTAGAGGTTTCCAGGTGGGACTATCCAGAGGGCAAAAGGGAGAGCTGTGGCTGAATTAGACTAGAGTCTCACTTTTTAAAATTCTGTTGGGTAGACAACAAATTACTCTTTTTCATTTTCCCCCCTTCTCTGAATGGCAAAAACCACAAGTCACAAAAAAAAAAAAAAAGGCAGAAAAGAGAAAAAAGTCTTATATAGATTAAGATGGGATTCTTCAGAAGACAGCCTGTTATGATGATAGAAGAGGAAGGCACTAATATAACTTTATTAAGCTGAGGTTCATCTTGGATGCCTGTAAGTAAGAGAGCTCTGAGCAAGTCACAGATAGTAATAAGGAATCTGAAAAGACTGTTAAACTTGTTAAAATCAAGGAATTCCTGTTTTCACCAAATCAGAATTACTAGGTATTTATAACATCTACATCAAGTGCACAGGTGCATATATGTGCTGATTACTCACCTTTTTTACCTTTAATTTTTCTCCTTTTATTCTTTCTTTCTAGACTGGGTATTTCAGGAGAGGATCCCTCCTACAAGTAAAATCCTTTATTAACAAAAGTTACAAGATCATTTTTGTCTAAATTGAGAAGTGAAACATCTGTCTTTACAAAAAGCATTACTTGAACCCACAGAGAAGAATGCTCAATTCATTCTCCTATAGCTGTTCCTTCCCCTTCTCCTTTAAAGAAAGGCAACAAAATGAGGTCTATGTTTTCAGCTCAGAAAGATAAATGTTAAGACAAAATACTTCTATATGCTCAGCAGTCTTCTATATGCTCAGGTGTGGAAGACTCAAGTACTTCGTTTAAAATTTCTGCTTCATATTTGTTAGCTGCTGTTCTACAGTATGAAATCAGTGAGAAAAAAATATTCATTTCTAGATTTAACTAAATTATTTAGCTAATTTTGATCAGAGAATATATTTCTTTTCTTTGGGTAAGTCCGAGACAGGACAGATAAAACATACTATTATCTTTATTCTTTTTCTACCTTATTTTAAATATATCATTTTGCAATAACAGTTATTTTTCCATGCTCGACTGTAAAACCAGGAATACCTAACAAACAAAAAAAAATCACTAAAATCTAATTTTAATTTAAGCTTCGAAATAACAGGATCTTCGCTATACCATGAAAATACTGTGTAAGTAATCCATAGCTCTTGTTTACCAGCATGATATGTCAGTCACCAAAAAAAAAAAGAATTACCAAGCATTTGCAAATTCTGTTTCACAAAGAAAGGTTAAACAGAATTTGTGCACTACAAAGGCAGATATGAAAAACATTCTTAAACAAAATTAAGTCAAACAAGCCACTTTGAGGGTAGACATACATACAGGATAATCACACTGAAAGAGTCCTGCTTGTAGAGATCACTCCAAAATTGAGTGACCATTGACAGCAGAAACATACTACATTTTTAGCATCCAAGAACTGCACAGAATTGCACGCTTACCCCTGTTGCTCTTCGTTTCTTTCCAATTCCCTGGCTGTCATTCTGCTCTGTACCAGATGTGCAGCTACTGTCTGTAGCTGCATCTATGTTATTAGATGCTGCGAGAGCCAAGGCACCACTTGAAGCCACAGTATTTTCTTCTCCAGAGTTTTCCAGTACATTCTGTTTTTCAGTGAGAGGTGCTCTCTTATCTGGGCTCTCCTGATCTTGCTTTGCGAGGCCTGTGTCCCCAGAGGATGCCTGCAGGTGCTCTCCACCAGTTTCAGTGTTTTCAGGCATAAATGGCAGCAAAGGAAGAGAAGACGTCTCACGTTTAAAGTCCCTCTCAGCGTCAGCACTTGCTTCACAGCCAGAGGTTAAGTGATGGGAGTTGCTGGGGGAACTAGTTTGCCTTTGCTCACTTTCTTTTGCTTTGGCTTGGTCACCGAAGATGCTATAAGCAGAAGGATTTCGGTCCACAATCACGCTGCTCTCAGAAAAGCTGCGTTTTCTCGCTGACCCAGGCACTGCTAAGGAAACCCCTTCCCACTGGAATCCTTCCAGAGCAGACAGATCCGACTCTTCGCCAAGTTCCAGACCCTCCTGCTCATTTTGAACAAGAGGCACCATTTCTATGCCAAACCTTTAGCAAGAGAAAAAGGAAAAATTCATCCACATGTAACAGGTCAGGTAAATCTAGAAAAAAAGATTTCTCCTATCTACTCGGATTAATATTACTGCTAAATCTGGAGATTTAGCACTAGCACTCTGCTGCTTTCCTTCTGGTCTGAGAATGGAACGTTTTTTTTTGCATTCTTCTACTTGCTAACTCTTGAAATGCAAATATGTTAATACCTGTATTTAGACATTAAGCAAACATTATGAACTGATAAAAACTAGCTCCTTTTCTGAGCAGCAGCAAAGTGACCTCTCCAGCTGCTGGCTGCAGTTGCTTACCCGTGGACAGACATCTGCAGCAGCAAGAAATCTAACAGACTAGAATTATCTTTATATGCAAAAGATGGTGGGACAGCAAAACTTACTCTTCAGTCTTAACTACAGGATTCCGGGATTCGCCTAAGGTTTGGGGCAAGCCCCTTTCCCCCCCGGCCCCCAGAGGCATATTTAGACTTGAAAGCTACCAACCTTGGTAAACCTTTGCCAAGTTCCTGTTTCTTCTTGGTTACCTGCTGGATGACTTGATCCCAGTTTACATTTCTCCGGGAAGCACTAAGGATCTGCCTGAGGGTGGGCTTAAGCCCCGACTCTTTCTCAGTGTCGCTTCTCCGATGGCCACTAACATTCCGAATCCGACGCGCGTTGTTGAGGTTGGGCTCTGGAAGATGCGTCCCAGCTTTGCTCTTCAGACTGATATGTCGTGTCAGGTCCCTTTGCAGAGAGGCGGGGAGACCAAGTTTGCTTAAATCAGGAAGGAGGCCACAGGACTGGCTTCCTCCCTTCTGTAGCTCCTGGTCTGAAGGATTTTCAAAACCTTCCATTTCAAAATGGTCGCTTGACTTCACATACTCCTCATCACCTTCTCCTTCCTGGGTGTTTTTTACCTCTGCCTGCAAGGGGTCCTGATTGTTTGATGGAGATGATGTGGATTCCATCTGAAACGCAGACTCCTTTTGATCAGCAGAAGTAATAGCTGAAGTAGCAGGTTTTTCATCATCTTCCCTTTCCGATGCAGCAGGTTTAGTATCTGGAACGTCACAGGGTAAGCAAGAACTGATGGAAGAACTCTGCTTTTCAACTCTGAAAGAACTCAGCTTTTCAACTCTTGCTTCAGATTTTTCACTCTCTGCTAGTTCATCATCACTCACATCCTCTAATGAATCCAGTCTGAACTTGCTCTCGGGAGAGCCTTTCCCCATTTCTTCCATATTCTGGTTGCTTGTATCCTTGGAAGGATCTAAATGCGGATTTTGTGAGGAGTGGCTGGATTGCAGTTTTTCACTTTTTTGCTGTGTTTCACCAAGGTTGTTAATAGGTTCTCCAGGGCTGCTGCCAGGCACCTCTGTGCTGCCTTGCAAGTCATCTGCACACGTGCTCTGAGGCTTTGATGCATAAGAGGAGAAAGTCTTAGTTTCCAAGTTCAGTGTGTTCAAATGATTTTGCTGTTCACCACTAGTTGAGGATAACAAAAGCTTGACATTTTTTAAGAGATTCTCTGTGTCCTGCTTTTGGGGAGAAGACTTAATGTCTGTGATATTCAGGAGAGGGGATTTCAGAGATGGCATCTTACTCCTTCTGCCATCACCTTTGTCAGGCTTTTCACCACTAGAATAGTCTGTCTTTACCTTGTAAGAATCAAGGTAATCTGAGGTTACTTTAGAATGAGAAGGTGCTTCCCATTTTTTAAGTTTTGGGAGGCCTGCATTGGTTTCACATGCTTTTACTTTCCTTGGTGAATCAGTAGGAGGCATAAATGCAGAATCTTTTTTCTCTGGAGTTTTAGAAACGTTATCTTCAGACCATGACTGCTGCTCTGCAGCCTTCTGAGATGGGTAGGGAGTCCAGCGATACGTTTTCTCTCTGGAAGGACTGCCACTTTTTCCACTGGTTCTCGAAGTTTTGGTTTCTGGTTGTTTAGAAGTACCAAAATCCAGTGCTCCCTCAAAAGGAAGTTTATCACTAGTAAAATCAAGTGACTCATGCTTTTTATTTCGATCTCTGTATGGCGCAGTATCAATGTTGCCCTTCTCCTGCCACTGCCACGTATATCTTTCCTTATTATAATTAACTGGATCTAATGAATATCCATCTCCTGAGTTTCCAAAATTCCAGCCATGTGCACCATGAGATTTCCAGTTTCCTCTGTAACTCTTAGAATTCCAGCTAGAAAAATTACCTGCTCCTTCTGAGTGCCAGGTAGGATTTCTCCCTCTGGTGCCATGATGCCAGTTTGATGTTCCTCCTCCTCGCCCACTCGGGTGCCAAGCATTTCCAGAATTCCCATAGTTATGCCGATTTGAAGGGTTTCCTGAAATATTCTGGTGCCATCCAGAGCGTCCTCTCGGGCCACCTGGATGTCTGTTTATATTAAGGTTCCTCGAAGAGTGTGAAAATTTGCCTTGCCTAGGACTGATGTAATCATCCTTTTCCCATTTCCAGTCCCTCTGTGATGGGTTATGATGATGCCATGATGACTGATCATAAGCTTCTCTTTCTTTGTAAGCAGCTCGCTCTTCTCGCCTTCTCTGCGATCTCCTGTCGTCACACTCTAACTCTGGGTTTGCACAGCATGGTTCTGCTTGCCTACAAAACAATTTGAAGAAACTTGAATTTTCACTCTATTCCCTTTGAGATCGAGCAGCATTTTATGTGAGAAGACTTTATATGAAAAGGAAGCCGCTTATTTAGCTGTTCTACTCCTCAGCTTCTGCAATGTTTGATCTTCAAAGCTAGTGCTGTACCTTTACTTAAATCGGATATTGCAAAATTGCTTTTCCAAAGGTAACTGACTTGGTGCAGGGACACTTCAACAGAATAATTCTTAAATATTTTGACTTTTGATTCAAAAAAGAATATGCCTTTCTATTTACTAGTTGTTGGATTAACAAGTGACAAGAAAAAAAGGAAACTTTTCTGTCGTACAATCTTTTTGTGTTTTCAGTAGATCTTGCAAAATAGAAGAAAAAATTACGCAAGGTTACACTAAAAAGTAAACTGAAGACTGTTCTGCTTGTGATAGACAGCATTACTAGGATGAAGTGATATTAAAAAAGGGAAATTTCGACTGAAAAGAACAGTTATTCTAACTGCTGGAGAAAATAATGGTATCATGTCTCAGTTTAAAAGGCTGAAATTAAGACGCATGTCTAAAACCTTGACAGAGGAAGGTGTGCCTCAGACAGAAAAGTATTTTGTCTTAACCAAGTGACACAGTGCACAGTGATTCGTCCCTACGAGTGTCCCAGAACCCCTCTGCGTATTGCCCTTTGGGATAATGCTTGTGCTTGGCAGCCTGTCATGAACACGCGGTAAATCTATCACATGTACATTTAAAGATAAATGCTACCTTACTGCCAGCAGCTATTCCCAGGGTCAGTTTGAATGTTCTAAGTATTTATTCTATCAGAAGAGGAGTTTTCACAAAAAGGTTTTATTTTAAATGAAACAAAACAAAAAAATGATTACAGAACTGCTGCTTTTCTGACCTTACAGAAATACATTCACTTTGGGTCCCTGGGCAAGCAAGACAGAAAACTTTCATGATGCTCCTTCTGCTCTTAAAACAAATGACCTTAAGGTAAAATGAAATTCATTTACTTTAAGGTAAATTCATCACCCTTCATATTGTGAGTTTTCAGCACAATCCAGTTCTGCTAAAAGATGTGCAAACTATTACTGCTATTGCCTAAGTGACACCATTAGATCTAAGAACCAACTCAAGTAGATTATGATCTAATGGAAACAATTTTGCTGTATCAGTAATTTAACTTATTCTTTTTTTCCCAAAACTGTATCCAACAGAGTGAGATTTTATAAGTCTTCAGCTACCTGAAAATACCAGTATTGCAGATAGCATTACGCCTTTACTGAACAGAAGCAACAGAAGTGACATTACTACTATTTACATTCACCAATATCAAAATATACCTACTACACAGTACAACAATATCTGAGTATGACAGAAAAGTTTCAAAAACAAACAGCAAATTGTGCATTTTGAGACAGTAAACGGAATTTCCAGGCCCAGGAAGCAAGAGCCAAAAATCAAAAATCATACGCCCATTTAATTAATGGTATTAGCATACCATTGATCTTTTTAAACAATATAGTCCCAATCAGAACATGACATTAGCAATGCACACTTGTGGGGTCACACGCAAAATAAAAGGCTATACTGGTTACTCTCTGCAGCACTGTACTTCACAGTGAGCCACCGGAGTTATATTTAGCTAATGGTAAGCAATAAGAAACAAATAGGAAATTTCACTCAATAATTAATTATAGTATTTAAGTGCTATACTATTTAAGTCATTAAAAGAACAATTCAATCCATTTTAAAGATTATAAACCAGAGCTTTGTAACATAAAGTGTATTCCGCAATGGTGTCTAACCTCCTTCATACAGCAAAACCTGCTCTCGACGCTACCACTGCTGTCACATTTATTAAACATTTCAGTTAAAAAAAAAAAAAAAAAAAAAAGGTAGTATCAAATATGAAAATAAAAATATAGGGATTCTATGTTAGGGACTTTAACACCACAACGTATCTGCTTTTATGTATAATGGAAAATAATTGACTTCACCTCCCTACATTTAGCAGGTCAGCAGAACAAGAACTTTTAGCAGCATCATATTTACATTTGAAAATTACAACCTCCACACAGTTCTTGGACTGTTCCCACGATAAAGACTTTGGCTGCACCCAGCTGACATTTCAAAAGCACCAAAGCCTTAGCAGCGACTGTGTTGAAAGCAATTCTACATGCCACATCCAAGAGGAAAAAGGAAAACTCACCGGTTCCGTTCCTTCCTTTGCTTGATGAGCTGAATGAGTTCTTTGTCAAGGTATTCTTCCTCTGTCTCTTCTTTCTCTTCCTCTTTTCTATCATGGGCATCAACATTGTCTTTGTGCAGCTGGCTGGAGATGTGCTTGGCATATGCTGACAAGCCCACCAGTGTCACCCTGCACACCTGGCACTCATGGTTGCTGTCCCTAGGGAAAGAGGCAGAGGGTGGGCTGTCAATTCTGCCAACAGGCATGGCAGGTCACTCTGGTCTTGCTTTGTTTCCTCTGAAGGTGCCCGTCTCTTTAGCCAATGGCTTATGTGCCAGGCACCTAAGTTTTGCTCGGTATATTTAAGTTAATTCGATTTTCTGGCTTTTTCTTTCAAGGTCTAGTTTTCTGATGGTCAGCTTTTAAAGATTTTTTTCCAACAATCAAGAGGTAAAAAGACTTGGTAATAAAGCGGTATGAAGTGGTATGAGAAAATCTTCTTGAATTGTTGTACTCAAAATCTTTTCAGAGGAAACATAGTGAGCGAGGAGGCAGGGTGGAAGGCTTGCAGAGCTAGCAGGAGCTGCTCCGAAGCCCATCCATGGTGCCAGCTGCACTGAGGAAGCCTGGTGACAGCTTCTACATTTAATCATTGCCTCAAGCCTTGCCCCGGTGAAATTTAGAAAGGGGAGGAGGCAGAATGGGGACGCAGCCAATCCTGCTACAACATGACCTAAACCGGGACAGCTGAGACTGCTGCCTGGAATGCAAAGACTCCACAGCACAGCGAGCGACACGAGGGTGTCTTCAGTTCACGGTACTTTATTTGGTTCAAACGCACATGAGCTCTGCTTGCTACTTTAGAAGACTTATCTTAAAAAACACAAAAATGATTTCAGCTGCAACAAGTTGACAGCTGTGGCAGACAAATGGCTTTACTCATGTTTCAGTGGATACTGGGCTAAAGATGTTACTTTTTTTAAAAAAAAAACAAAAAACTCTCCATAATATTTCATTTGTTCCTCTGACAAATCCTTTAGATACTCCAATGTTAAGGAAATCACAGCCAGATGAGGCTTTCTTTTAAATAAATTCATAGATTATGCTTTTTTAATTTTTTTTCCTCTTCATACATCAGCCTAACTAATTCCTGATAGAATACTTGGATAAAGGACTGGAAAAGACTTACGGGGAGAGTGATTGTAACTCTCCATCCTTCTGCTAAACTGCAAGAATCTGAAGAACCAACATCAGTTTTGTCATGTTAACAGCTCCTTCAATTACAAAGATTAATTGGGTGGGAGAGTGGATGGTTACATTTATGGGAATTTTGATTTCCTTCCCAATTTCCTCTACCAAGCCGCATACCAGCCAGTACTGAGCACCCTCATGCTTGTGCATCCTCCCATCTATGAGGCTGGGGCTTCATCGCCTCTGAGATGCTACAGTCTTCTCTGTTCAATAAGGCCAAAAACAGTTTGAAATACAGGACAAAATTACTTTCAATATAGAAACCTCCAAGAGCACTATTTTCTGGGTATATACTTGAGATTGTTTCATTTTCAGTTTTAATTAAGAACAAACCATCAAACAGCATAATACCTGACATCTAACTGTTGTATTGTCCAATTGACATATGTCTCATGGAACAAGATTTCAAGAGGAGAAAGCAGCCTTAAGAAGTTCCAGTATTTTTTTCTAGCCCTTGAGACTGCTAAATTAAGTTTAAAAAAAATAAAAGTGAGAGCCAATGTGTGTTTGCCTCCTTCACCTGTTCCCTGCAGGAAGTCTGAGAACAACTTCTAGTTGGATGTTAAATCTGCAGCTGGAAAATGCTGCACTGTAATCCACTCCAGTGTAATATACTCCAGTGAAGTTCCCTTCACACAGTTTAACCACTCTCATAAGACTGCTGCTTGTGCTTCACTACTTTTTTTTCCTCTCTCCCCAAAAAACTCCTAAAACACATCTCCTAAATTGAAATGACAGGAAGGAGAAAGGAGGGAAGACCACTAGGTTGTTAGGCATGCTAAGAAGTAGAGAGTCTTTTTCATGTTCACTTTGAGAACCAAGATGGCAATAAAACAGACATCTTCCACGGAGGAGTTTTGCAAGAAGTAACAAAGGCAATTACCTTAACATCAGAATAGGAAATACTGAAGAAACTTTAGTTTCAAAAATATGGAAACAGAAAACCAAAAAGTGTCCGACCACATGGGGACATAATACATAAGATCTGAAGTTAATTTTACCTGGATGAAAGTCATGAATTAGAAAAGATTGACTTTAAAAGTTATGAATAAAATGCCAAAATATGTGAAACTACGCCGGTACCTTCACCATTTTCAGTGTCTATACCCACCCTAGTCTCAGAATTGGTGTCAGAAGGAAGTCCAGAATAGAACTGCTCCAGAAGTTAGCTGACCAGCAGCACTACATAAACTTCTAGTGATGACATTTTGGTTTCTGAGCAACCGCTTCCCAGCTGTTCAGTAATAGAACAAATGTCTTTTCACTCTCAATAGTGCAGCAGACAAGATATTTTGTGTAGTACAACACATTTGACCCCAGGCACATTTTCAGAATGCTCCTAACACCCGAGAGTTTTTCCCCACATCTGCATTTGTTTCAGTTAGCAAGTCTCTTGAATCTTACACAGAGAACCTAGTCATTGCCAGCTTTATCATAAGGCATGCAAGTAAGTGTGAAATATAAAAGTAATTACATGGAATTCAACAGTCATGGGAAATAGGACATGAGGTTCCCCAGTGTGTGACAAAAAAAAACCACATAAAAAAAAAAAGGAGTGATAAAAGGTGCACAGAGAGGAAGGATGCAAGACTTTTCTCATACCTTCCCTTAAGGTTTTCAAGCTCTCTGTGGTGAAGCATGCTTCTCATGTGTTCTGCCATCTCCTTCAAGAAGAGGGAGAAAAAAAGTAGACTTGGTCATGACAAAACAAAATGAAAAACTCAGTGTTGAGAACTATTCTGTACTGCAGGAAAGTGTGATCAGCGCCCGCAGAGCTGCAGTGAGCATCTTTTCCGTTTCTTTGCCCATGGAAGCACAAGTGAAAGCACTGTCAAGAAGTCATATAATGTCACCTTTCCTGAGAAAGGACATAAGGCAGTCATTAAAATTCAAACCAGAGTGAGCAGAATCCCAGGAGACAAACAGAAGTGTTTGTAGCAAGTTTATTGTTCTGTTTTTTGATAAATGGTTGTCAGTTGTGATTTTTGTTAGGAAGCTGATCATTCTCAAGCATCAGAGTATTACAACACCACATTTCTTTCTGTGCAATGTGCACAGTATCCCTGAATTTACATTACGACCCAGCTGTAATGTCATTATCACATAGTACTTTACTCTGTTGGTTGTGGAGTCTCCTTCTCTGGAGATCTTCCAAACCCACCTGGATGCTACCCCGTGTGCCGTGCTCTGGGTGTCCCTGCTGCAGCAGCGGGGTTGGAGTAGATCATCTCTCGAGGTCCCTTCCAACCTCAACCATTCTGTGATATGTTTTGGAAACTAAGATGTACTAACAACGCATTTTGATGTTCAGAGCAACCTTGAGCCTACACTAGCCATACTACAGTATGAGTAGTAGTATAATTCATTGTGAATGAAAGAGCTGCTGGAAGAGAAGGATTACTCATAACTCAGGGATAGAAAGTAGTTCAGCAGATTTCATTTTTCTCTTCCAGCTGAACCGAAATATTTGGAAGTCTTCCAAGAACAGGTATTAATCACCATCTGCCCCAGGCCTTGAATTTTCATCTGCAAGGGAAAGCAACACTTCCAACTTCCAAGAGTTATGTGAATTAACACATTGGCACTTAGAGCACAGCCACAAATCATGTTGCTAAGCAATATATAAACATTTCATTTTTAAAAAAACTTTTATTGCAGGGTTTGAATGATTCCATAAAAGAACAGGAGATACATATAGACAAATGAATAGATAATCAAGAAGTTAATGAAAATACAAGCTGTTCTGGATCACTTCACATGCTCCTTCCATATGGAAATAGACAAAAGTTAAAAAGGAAAAGAAATGATAAGTATATCACACAGCATTCTTAGCACAATTCACAGCTGAATGGTTTGTGAGCTTTTCATTTTATTATCTTTATATGATACTCCCCACTGACCTCCCCACCCCTCACTATTTTTAATTTGCAGAATCAAGAATACCATATAGCCTATTTCAAGGAAGATACTCTAAAGCATATGTAACTATACTATTTGATTTGCAGTAGATCTAGACCAACACATTCCTGGTGCAGGAATAAAATCTACTTTCCACATTTTTTTCTTTATCTGGAAATATTTCTCACACACATTTTATATATAATTATTTACTGATGCAAGATATAAACCATTTATTATTTACCTTTTTTGAGTTGTATACAATATGACACAATATGCATTTTCGTTCTCGAACCATGCTTAATACTCTGGAAAGATTTTATCCCATACCTGCAAATAATAATTAAAAAAAAAATCAGGATTTTCCCCCCCCAGTATTTTTCTATTTTCAGTAAGAAAATTATTACTGGTATTCCTGAATACCCCTCTGCTGAGTTTCTTAAGTGCCCTCGCACATGGTCAACGTTCATCAAAAGATAACAGTCTTAAACAGTCAGTCAGTCTTAACTGATCAAAAGATAAAACAGTCTTAAAAGGTATAAAACATTGTTTCCCTTTAGATTTTTCCTCGTCTTCCACAATAGCATGCTTATTCTAGAAGCAAGCAGCCAGCAATTCAATCAGATTAACAAAAACCTTTTCAACTAGGTTGACCAGAGAGATAAGAAATTGAGGAAGCCAAGTGGGACAAGCTACAATCCTTTGGTACACAAAGCAGTCCAGGGAGGGAGAGAGACTCTTACGGCCCAAAGAAAACAAAGGTAACTCAGACAGCAAAGACGGACAGTATTCAAGGTTTGCAAGTGTGTTTATTCTCTGTAAAATGAAACCTAAAATCATTTAGAACTCAATATTTTTCTCACTGACCTAAGAACTATATATATATATATATATATATACACACACACACATACAGCAGAATACTTATTCAGGCAGCATTTTAATGTATTTTTTCTAACTTTATCACATGGACACCTGATGTTCTGGAATCATTAGTAAAATCTCCCCATTTGACCAGGCAGCCCCAGAGTTACAAGATTATTCAGAATTTTGCACCAGAATGTAATATTAAACACAGAACAACCTAAGAGTTGCATACACGCAAATTAAAGCAACTGCAGGTCAGATTACACATGATGGATTTTACCATAGTGTATAGCTCTTAAGAAACATGATTAAATTTATCAGGGAGGCAAGTAACAGTCAATTCTATAACACATATCTACATAACCAAAAACAAAAGGTTACCCTTTTCTTGAAGGACACTAAACCACTTAATGATTAAGCATTATAGCTATTTTTGAGTCATTTTGAGCTATTTTGACAACAGACAAGCACCTTTTACTACCACTGGGCATTTTTACATCTCCTCGCAGGAGGAGGGCTCCTTCCAGGCTCTGCTGTCTTGCAGCAACTGACCTCGGGGCCTGTTTAGCTCATACCATGAAACTTAACCTGTAGGAACCTTCTTCAACAGGTCACTTCCCCAGTCCACCCTGTAAAGTTAATGTTAATTATTTACTATAAACCTTTTGGATCTGGGGCACTAAAACCTCAGAATCCAGTACAGAAGTTTTGAGGTAAGATTTAAACAGGAACTGGATTTTTTAACCAAATTCAGATTACACTGAGCTAAAACAGATCTGGGCTTCAGTGGCAACTGCAAACAAGGGGAAAATGCTAGCAAAATCACACCTGCTCTAATTCAGGAATAAGGATCTGACAAATAACTAATTTCCTCCAGATTTGCACGTGCACTTACAGTTTATATACACATACACCCCCCAACACTAGCTCAGCATAAACAGAAAGCACCTGAGAGTGGTAACTGCCCTTTAAGCTTCAGATAACAGAGAAGGACGTTCTCTTTGCAAAAGAACTGGAAGCCAAAGAATTGAACTACAACACACCAGGAGATTCAGTAATAGAAAGGATTCCTGATATCACCTCGTCAGCATCCCTGGGTGAAATACTTCGTTTAAACAGTGTTTAAATATGCATTTGTCAACTTTATCGCATGGGCATCTGATGCTCTTGAAGAATAGGTAATAGCTATTTATTTGACAAAGGTGCAAGATTATTCAGAATCCTCAAATTCAGAACTATTCTGAGTTTTGCATTTGCCTAGATCATACAGGGCACATATGTAACACATATGATATCAGTTATATATGTTTCAAAGTACCTGCCTTCATGGCAGGTTAGAACACAGAAATACAAAGTTTTAGAACAAACCATTTTGCAACTGTTTAAAACCATATATATAGAGTTTGACTTGTTTTTAAACATATTTAAGCTGAGACAGCAGCTGAAGAAGGTTTAAACGGGAACTATTTTCTTATACACAGGTGCAGCTACAGCAGATAAAAGAATTGTGCACAATTATAGCCAAGTGACAAATTTTGGGGTCCCTGGTCAGTATAGGAAAGCTATTTTAATGCCATTAACATGAAGTTACCCTTGAAAAGCAAGGGTGCTAATCCTTGCACCCCTTTCAGAGAGCTTCCTTTTGCTCTAAAAGGTGTCCCACTCCCCTGGTATTCCTCACCAGCACTACCTTGTAGATTAATGGAATAACATCCTGCACGTGTTCAGGATCTTGCTTAAAATTACCCAGGTATTTATGGAATTCATCCTACACAAGGGTAAAACCTCAACGTGGGACTTAAATCAGGACAAACAAGTCAGTTAATATGGTGGATGGCTGGCATCACTTCCACACAACATCAAAGAGCTTTCTCAAGCAAAGCTAACAACACACCTGTTTGGGCTAATTAAAACATATAGTAGCCATAGGCTATTACAGGAAGAGTTTAAGGCTAACTGCCCAATCAATTGGGTATTACGTATGGCAGAGTACTAAAAATACTAATGGAATTCAAACACTATTGGATGTCACTATGGAAAGCGAAACTTCCATCTCCAAAAGGAGAAGCTCTTGGAGACAAGAACTCAGATATAGAGATCTAGCAGATGCTACAGGGACTGTGAGAAGACAGACCCATTGCTCTATCTCCAGGTCACCTTCCGACTTTCTGCCTACACCATGTGAAATCACTTCCCTTCCCAGTTTTTCTCCCAGGTCTTGCTGTGACATCCTAAGGCTCACTTTTAGGAAGTACTTTCAGGAAAGAACACTGTAAATACAAAACATTCCTTCATTACCTATGCAACAGTAGCAGGAACTAAACAGCTTTAGAGCCATTTGCTCAGCAAAGGCATTTTATCAATAGGGTAAAATGACATTGGTCAGTTTAACCATGAAAGTTTTTTCAAAGAAACTTCAGAAAAAGAGTTTTCTCTGCAGAAATGCAGGCATATCCAAGTTCTTAAGAAGATAATCCAACAATTTAAAAATCAAACAACCTTCAGGGTTTTAGCAGGTTTAACAGTTTGTGCTTTTGAAACCTTCAGTTTGCTATATGTCTACATAAATTCTATATGGAAAATCACCTCTTACAGGATGCTAAAGGGAAAAAGAACTGGTAAAAAAGAGAGGCATAATGAGACTACAAGTCGAAACTCTGGTCAAAAAGACATGACCTCCCTGTTGAAGGCATACATACTTCAAGAGTAAAACGTAAAGCCTTCAAAATAAACACAATGTTAAGACCAACTTTCTATCTTGACAGAAAATTACTGATCCATAGGGGATTTTTTGTCTGTCTGATTTTACAGGGCACAGATGTAATTCTACAGATATGCAAGGCAAGCACAAGTTGCCCACAGCCTGCATCTGCTCAGGGCTTGGAAACACCATACAGATTGAATTAACTAAAGCAAGTACATTAAAGAGAGTTCAGAGAAGACTTCCCACAAACAGAAATAGTCTACAAAGAAAATAAGGCATGAGCCTGCTTCCTGCTGCAACATTCATTTGTCCGCAGCTATTCAGCCTTACCGGATAACATACATTAAAAATGTGGGTCAAGGCTAAATCTGCTCCAGATCAATGGCTGAGCACCCTGACTATATAAAGCCACAAGTGCGACGGAGCAGGGCGGACAGCCCAGCATTCCAGCTGCCTGGAAATCCTCAGGAGGCCTCCAAGAGATCATCAGCTCTGGTCTGCCTAAAGGGCTGCCCAAAAGCTGCAGGGCCCCACAGATAGCCCGGATACCTCACGCTCGACAGGACGGGAGCCAGAGCCCCATCAAGGCGCAGTGTCCGACAGCGCCGCTCTCCTTGGCCTCTCAAGGCCGTGTCTCAAGGGCCCCAAGGCCCTTGGCCTCCAGGACTTCTCTGCTGCAGCAGCTGATCACAAATATCCTACTTGAGCTGCACCCCAAATAAGAGTAATACATTTGCTGCAGAAATGGCGAAGGAGAAGACTGCATAGGGGGAAAAAGAAACACCTCAATGGGCATTTGTGAAATCTTTAGCTGGCTGTAACAAAGGATGGGGTGTAGACAGGGTCATTTTGACCTGCAGAGATGTATCTTGCTCTGAGGAATTAAGGATGAAGAACTGCATAGGCCCTGTAAAACACTTCAACAGCTGTGGCTAGGTTAGACTGCATTTAGTTTGATTATTATTTAGTTTGATTGTCACTTTGCTGACCTTTTCATAGGAGAATCTAGAGGACATGGTATAGGCCTTGGAAAGTTTTATACAATGTCCTGTAACACCAAAAGAATGCTACAAAGCAATACAGGGGTCGAACCAAATAACATTTTATTAAAGCTTGGTAGTAGAGGTAGAGGTTAAAAAAATGCATAGGTATAAAATAATTTCCGTATATTATATGCTGATCCAAACATCAAAGCTCTGTACAAAAATAATTCATCAGAAGAATAAATATGGATGCATGCACTCAAATTTCATCACCCTGAGCAGAACACATTCAAATGAGGCACAACATTCAAAAACTACCTTTCCTTTCAGCCTCTTTGCCAAGGAGGCACTTGAATGTGCTCTGCATCACCTTGGCAGAAGGCAGCTCTCACCAATTGCCTTTGTGTTACCTGTGGGTACGTGTGGGAGGCCCCTGGCCTTCCTGCTGAGACGCTGACCTGTGCAGACTACGCTGGCCAGCAGCCAGACACGGCAGCACTGACCTCTTCTTAAGTCACAGCTGGCAGCCTTAATCTGCCTTAGCACAGTAAGGCCGCACTGCAGCTGCCCGACTGCAGCACTAACTGTGCAGTACTGCACTGCCCAACTGCACAAGGGTTGTGATCACACCTTCTTGTGCGCAGGGCAAAGGGAACTGCGCTACAGCAGTGAGAACGCTGCCGCAAGATGCAAGACTTTGGGTTCGATTCTGATTCCTTCCTGCTTTCCTAGTGCTGACTTGCCCTCCCAGCAGACTGAGGGCCATGGAGAGCAGTCAGAGCACACCGGGGACCCCACCAGTTTAGCTGGTATTGGAAACACTGACAGCTGTATAGCTGGTGTTGGGACAACTGAGCCCTATTTTGACACTCAGCCAAGGAGGGGAGAACAGTTATTCCAAGATCAAAGTTCTTTACGTTCCTGTTAAAAGTAATAAAGTTCACTCGCTAAATTGCCTAGACACCACCTAGCAGGAAGCGTTTCTATGTTATCCCATGGCACAAGGGGGACTGTAAAGAAATACCTACACAAACAGATGAGCACATGCAGAGAAACACCTGGCATGGGCACAGAGCTTTCACTGATATCTACTCTAACTTCAGATAAACCAAAAGGGTGCATACACATTAAGTTACAGACAGACTTTATCTTTTTAGCCTTCCTGTATACATGCAACGTTAACTTTGTTTTTCTCCAGTACTGTAGCAGCTTGTTCTTGGTTCTAGAAAAGCAACATCAGTAGGTCAGTCTACACATTCAGTCCATTATCATCTTATTGCAATAGCAAGAAGATATCATAAAGTTCAAAAAGCATTAAGTTCAAAAAGAGACTTGAAAACAAACAAGCAAAACACTTTAACCTATTGATTATTTAGAATAAGTTTACTTAATATTTCATGAAAATGCTTTCCAAACCATCCATCTACCTAAGGGGATCTCACTACAAACACACCGGATCAGAAAGGGCTCAGAAGACTACCCTGATGCTAGGACAGCAGGAAGAGTGTCAAGACCGTTCCGGGATCAACATGAATAGATTACAGATGTTCCCAAAGAAAGGCAGCTCAAGCGCCCTAACAAAACCTCTCTTAGAACTCAACTATCTTTAGAAGTGCTTTCCTTGCACCCAACCTAAGCTTATCTTGCTGAAAAATTAACTCAAAGGTTTCTCCATAATGAAAGCAAACAATATCTTAGGGCTATCTTAATTTGAATAGCTTCTTAAATATTGAAGGATTCAGATTCAGGAATGTAAATTGTCTTAATAATAACAGGAAGATGCTCAGCATCACTGCTGTAATTTGTGATTTTAAAGCATCTAAAATTTAAACTACAACAACTTTTGTTTTCCCTCATATTCACAGTTCTTTGGCAGACTTAGGCAAACTCTGTTTCATCAGAGGTCTACTCACACATCACATTTTCCAAACCTACTAAAATCCCTGCTCCACTTTCAAAGTTGCCTACAACACTCTTAAATTCCCATCTTGATCTTCAACCAACAAACCCTCATAAGAATAACAGAAATACCAGACACTTAGTTTTACAGTTATTTCTGCAACACGTGGCTCTATCTTTCTTTCTTCCTTCTTCCTAGTGTATTTATTGCCCTGACACCACTCTCAGGCAAGCATAGTGTGTCTTTCTTACAAACTGGGAGCTAAGGAACAGGGACTTAGAAATCAAATCAAAACAGGCTCCTGTATCCATGCAGCCTATCACGATACTACGGAATTAGGTACCTGGTCTTGGCAAGATAATTCACACTCCCAGAGAAGTGCCTACATGGTCACTACAGAGCACATAAGAGAGTCAGGCTTATTCTATTTATGCAGTCACTACAGAGGAGTAAGAAACACTGAAGAGTGATTTGAGGTTCTCAAATCAAGTCAGGTTACCTGTAAATATATAGTTTTCCTGTCAAAGGTAAATTAAGGATCATTAACACTGATCATTAACAACGAGGCAACAGGGTCCTTTCTGAATGCCCATGCCTCTATAATATAGGGACCTGCTCCCAGGCCTGCTTATTGCCGACTCCACCAAACTGACATCACAACCAGCCTACGACAACTAGATGAGGAAAAACAATCTCTTATAAAGGAAATTTGCCCCTTTCATTTTTATGAAAGGAAGAATTTATAATATAATGCATAATATCCTCTATTTTTTCCTATAATCAGCTTGAGTAATGTAAGATCTCACATCTTATGACACCAYAACACCATCTGGTGGCAGTATTCACAGAGGACTACTTCTAGCTGTTAAAAAGAATTTTATCAATTTGCACTTGATTCCAAATACCTTATAAATTTTATCTTTACAAGATAAGGTGAAAGTTCAAAGGAGAAGACAAAAAATGCTTATTTTTACCTAGATGTTTGATGAAGTCATCTAGAAATTTTAACATCAATTAACATAAGCTAGTGATTGTTATTGTTCTTTCCACTGAGTACCAGAACCTTGCACGTAATTAATATGCATTTTGTTGCCACCTCTTCAAACACATAACCCTTTGGACAAATGAGCTAGCAGGTGCCTAAGCTTTGGTGACAGAGAAACAGGTAACAGGCTAACGTAGTTTGGCTAAAATCAGTTATTTGTTCTGAAGGGAAAGTGCTAGAATTCAGCACCTATTTAACAACCTTCATATGTAAAGTCAGTCAGCACTGTCACAAATGTGGCGAAGTGAACACAGCTGCCTCCTGCTCTTCCTGCCAGTTAAGCTGAAGCCAGTGAAGGCAGCTGCCTTTAATAGAAAAGACGGTCTGCTTTCAGGTCAGGATGGCAGAATATTTTCTAAAGAAAATCAATTAACAAGTCACATTACATTGGCCCTAGTGACCTGCAATATTCAGCCTAAATAGTGCAGAACTACTATGGAGAAAGTTATAAAGTTTCAAGTAAATATTAAAGGAGGTGTTAGGAGGCTTAAGTGTTTTTAGGATGGGATCTGCCAGTTCTGCAAGGCAATCGGTTACCTCAGCACGGTAACTGGGGTTCGACTGCGAGAGGCAGCAGAGGAAGGAAGGGCAGCGACAGAGGCAGAGCTGCTCTGCGGTGGTAACCCCGGGAACTCTCGCTGGGGACAAACTAGGGCTCCCCGGTGCCCTGCTCCCCACGCAGAGCTCATCCATCCTGCAAACCTAAGGAGAGCTTCCCAGGGAAGCTCCTATCGCCCGGCGCGCGCGCTCTGCCCAGGGCACGAGCTGCAGCTTGAGGCGGGCGGCCCTGGGCCCAGCGCTGCGCCGCAGCCCCGGACGGGCGCGCGGAGCGGCCCCAGAAGGGCAAGGCCTGCCCGCCCTGCAGGCCCCGCTGGGCCCCGCGCCACAGAGCGAGCCCGAGCCCGGACCCGGCCCGACCCCGCACCCCGGGGACCCCGCCGCCCCGCTCGGCCCCGCGCCGCTACTCACGCCTCGCAGCCCCAGCCCGGGCAGCGACCCGCCGACCCATCCCCCGGCGGCCGCTGCCCGCAGGCCCCGCCGCCCGCTCCGAGGCCGCCGCTCCCGCCACTGCCGCGCCGACCCCGCAGAGACCCGCGGCGCACGGCGGGGCGGGGCGTCCCGCGCGGCAGCCAATCGGCTCACAGGCCAGCCGCCGCGCTGCATGACGGGAGCGAGCCCGCCTCGCCGCGCTGCCCGCTGGGAGGTGTAGTTCTGCGACGTGGGACGGGGTGCAGAAGCGAGCGAGTTATTTCAGCGCGGGAGTGGCCCAGCACACGTGTCTGCCTGGGACAGCGAGTTAGCAGTAATAATAACAGTCGTTTTGTGGCACGTCAGCACGGTGACATAGACATGCCGCTCAGAAAAGCTGCAACTGACAAAGTGGAAAGAAAAAAGAAAAGTAGAAAGAAAGCCAAGGGAGGGAGCCTATCTCTACGAGTCCAAGAAGGCAGAACAAGCCGCGGTGCCTATTTCCAGCTAAGGAGGAAAATATATACGGAAAGACAGCTTGATCCAGCTCCACAAAGCACGAGCTCTTGTACTTTCCGGCTTTATAACCACCGACCCAATGGACCCGCGCATGCGCGGGAGCGCCGCACGGCAGGCGCCATGTTGGGTGTACCCACACCGTCAGGCGGCGACACTTCCCCCGCGCCATGCTGGGTGCGGCGCGCGGTGCCGCGTCGCCCGGGCGGAGCCAGCTTCCCCTTCCGGGGGCGGGCGCGGCGCTGCGGGGCCGGGCGGGCCCTGGGCCGTTAAAGCGGCGGCGGCGGCGGCAGCGCGGCCTGGCCCTGGCGCGGCGGCGGCGGCTGCAGGTGCGTGGGCGGCGGCGGGTTGTCGCGGCACTGAGGGGTTCCAGGGCGTTCGGGTCCCTTCCTGGCGTAGGTCGTGGCCGTCCCGGAGCGCGCCGGTGTCGCCGGGCCTGGGGCTGCGCCCGCGCCCGGGCGGCTCCCGGCGCTGCCGCTGGGCTACGTGCGCGTTACGAGGGAAGCCCCTCCTGGGACTGCTGTTTTTAGGCTCTTAGGGTGGTCTTGTGCCTCTGGGTGCTGGTGGTCAAGTGCTCCTCCGGTAAGTGCAAAGAAAAGCATTGGAGATGCCTTGGTCTTCTCCGGTTCCTTTAACTGCGGGTCTTGAAACCCTCAGTGCTGCTAGGGAACTGCCGAAGAATAGTCAGCTTTGTTGCTCACTTCCCTCTTTTGAGGGCTTGTCTCAGGGAGATTGCTGTTTAACACGACCATGTAACAGAGGGCACGGCTCCTCAACAAACGAGGTCGGGAAATTTTGAAGACTCAACTAGATCCTCCCTAGCAGTTTTCTCCTTTTCTCTTCCTTAAAAGAGGCAACAGACACTCAGGATGTAGAATTAAGCATCTGGATTTTCCTTAAGTGCTTTCATTAAAAACAACACAAATTCTTTGCTGCAGCTGTCCAGGTGGGTGGTTTTGGGGTAAAGGAACTGCCTCCCCAGATGCCACCTGCATCAGTCTGTGATTTAAACAATGAATTCTTCACTGCCTGGTGGTCAGTCTGTTTGTTTCAGCATCGCTATTCTGCAAGCTGTTTATGTACTTGTTTTTTATTAATGTTACTTTTTGCTGTTCACTCTATTTGATAGAAGAAATAGCAACTGTTGCTGCCTGTGTGTGGATCAAGAGTGGCTGGCCGTATTGTGTTGGCTAGTAACTAAATTGGAGGAGGTACCACGAGGCCTTTGCAGCAACAGAAACTGCTTGTTGAGACCAGTCTGCTAGAGCAGGACACACTGTGTTGGGGAGGTGGTGTGCTAGCGCCTGTTCTTCCAGTTATCTCCTCAGTGCACCATGTTCAGGAAGCTGATAAGAAAAAGCAGGAAGCTGCAGAGTGGTGTCTTGTTCTTGGGTTCTGGCCCCTTCCCCCAGTGTCACAGATGCTTTGTTCATTTATCTTGTAGACATAATAGCCCGGGGGAGGCCACTCTGGTGCTGATACCTTGTACCAGCCTGTATTTGTGGAGCTAAATTTCAGCCCAGCAGAACAAAAGTAGGATTTTTCTGTTTGATTAAGGAAGGCTTTCTTTAAAAGCGGCTCTTCTATTTGTGAGACAAGACTCAAAAGCACAGACCGAAGAAAAAATTCAAGTCACCTACTTGATGCACTGTCTAGTTTTAATCTGTACAGGGATGCATAAACTTTCGTAGTGTTTTAAGAAAGAGTTGTATTATTTTTTCCTTTATCCTGGGGAAGGCAATAGCAGCCTTTACAGGTAAAGGAATAGAAAGAGTCCATGATCTTCTCAGACAATACCAGTTCACTGATGGCTAAAACTGCAGATCATGAGATCCTGGCTTCCATTCTGCTGCTGGTGTCTGGATTGTGTCATCTTGCATTTCCTATCTCTGTTTAAAATGTGATTGCCCATAAGGAGGCACGAAAATTTCCTCAGTTTTGGGGGTGTGTGTATGTTGTACAAGTTGCAAGCTGTTCTGGGCTCCCTAGTATGAGGGGGATGTGGAGCTGCTGGAGAGAGTCCAGTGCAGGGCTACCAGGATGATCAGGGGCCTGGAACATCTGCCCTATGAGCAAAGGCTGAGGGAGCTGGGCCTGTTCAGCCTGGAGAAGAGGAGGCTGAGGGGGGACCTGATCAGTGTGTATAAATACCTCAAGGGAGGCAGTGAGGAGGCGGGGGTGGCCTCTATTCAGTGGTGGCCAGAGATAGGACTAGAGGAAATGGCCACAAACTGAGGCACTAGAAGTTCCTCAAGAACTTAAGGAAAAATTCCTAACATTGATGGTGACAGAGCCCTGGCACAGGCTGCCCATAGAGGCTGAGGAGTCTCCTTCTCTGGAGATCTTCCAAACCCGCTTGGACGCAGCCCTGTGTCCCGTGCTCTAGGTGACCCTGTGTGTGCAGGAGGGTTGGACTACATGATCTCAGGAGGTCCCTTCCAACCTCTGTGATTCTATGAATTTTTCTTCTCTGTTACTTGTAATAAATATCAACGGAAAGATACAGTGGGGTACCAAATCTGTTTTTTAAAGATACTACTCTGGTCTATTTACAAATGGATTGCCTTTTTTCCCTTCTTTCTCAAATATGCAATATTGCTTTCAGATTTATCTGAAATGAGCAGCTAGTCAAATATGGTGCTCTGTGAATAGAAAGGATTAGATTTTGCATAATAATGACTATTTGAAAAAGAATAACTGGGGCTTGCGTGTCTGAATTTTGCAGTTAACTCTGCAGTGTTAGTTCCTGACTACAAAAAGAAAAAGGATTTTTGAGGAGGGAAAGAATGTGAAGACTTAAGCATTGAGTCTTGATAGAGTACCTGGTTGTAATTAAGCTAGTTATCATTTGCTACTTGGAAACAGCTTTTCTGAAAGAGAAATTATTCTGGAAGGTGGGCTTAATATTAAACCTTATGGTTCCAGCATTGAAAACAGCATGACCTAATCCTTGTTCCAGCTCTCACAGCTGTTGCCTTACATTGCCAAAAATATTATGCTATGCTCTTCTAGTTTTAATTCCTCCTTCCAAGAAAACTGGGAGTTTCTTGTTTGTTATGCATTTATGGAATAGGCATGAAAGTACGGATTGTTTTTTAACTGAAAAAGGATGAGCTTCAGCTTCCATTTTCAGCTGAGGACTAGCAGTGCAGGAGAAGAATGAGGGAACACATTGAGATCTGGATGATTTAGGTTAAAGAACGTAACCAGTTGACAAGGAATTAATTTCACATATATGACAAATGTGACAAGTATTTTACATGCGTGAAAGTTGTTTCAGAGGTATGAAACTACTGCATGTCAGCTGGAGATGCAGAACTTAATCTTGCTAAATTTGTTGAACTACAAGTGGTCATAGTGATAGATTGGTCAAATGCAGAGACCTGTCTGGTTGAGGAAATCTCGTCACTTTTTATGCTCTTGCTCCTTTGCAAAGTTAGAGATCTTTTCAAGTGTCTTAGTTTGGAGAAATGGTAGAAATGCACACGAGCTCTAGGTGCAAAAATGTTCTCAAAAAAAAAGGTTCTAATCCTGAATGCCTCTATGAAATGATGTTTGCTTTACAGTAGGTGTCCTAGTGTCCTTTCCACATGTGGAATGTGTAACTGCAGTTGAACAAACACCCTTTTAGGTCTTCTGGCACCCAACAGGTGGTTCAAATTCAAAGATATGTGAGACAGAAAATTCTTACAGGCTTTGAGTGCTCTGGACTGCGCAGTTGAGGAGGTGTTGGCGCTCTCAAACCCGATGTTCTCTTTTAGAACATTAAGCATTTTGTAGTTTAAGTTTTTCTCTGCCCTAGTACAGAAGTACTTAAACAGTATGCAAAATGCCTGTCATAGCTTTGATTACCTTGGAAGCATTTTTTTTTTTGAATTTGGAGGGAAATATTTGGAATGAAAAACTCACCTAGTGAAAATGCATATCCCTTTCAGAATTTAACAGTTACTTTACTAGACTTCAAGAATGAAATAATCACACTTGGATTTTATATAGAAAATTGCATAGTATTTTAGTTAAAATTGCCTTTTTGATTTTTGGGGGAGTTCTTAATTCAGAGTTTCACCATACACTCCAATGACTTCTCACTCCTGTGAGAAATACCCAATTAGAGGTGTTAAAACAGATAATAAAACAAGTGTTTTGGGGGGATCATTTTGATTGAATGCCTAGTAAGTGATGTTTTACTAACCACAGCCAAGCCTACAGCTTGTGGGGACACCTGCATACTGGTTTTGCCTAGACTTCTTAAAAACCTTATGTTTTCTTTGTTTTGTTTTCTCCTGTTTAGGTGCCTGTCCTGAAACATTAAGTAGCAAAACAAGTTATCTTATCAGTGATGGAGAAAGTATTCAGGGTGTGAACATTTGTAAAGCACTTACATTCAAAACAGTCCAACTTAGTGATAAAATGTAGTTGTTTTGCAGCAAATGTTGGGACAGACCTTTCAGGATGTCCGGTTTCCAAAGCAGAATGCAGTTAGAGGAAAGGGCTGTGTAAATCTGAAGTTCTTTCCCTTATCTCCTTGCTCCTCTTATCTAGAGGGGTAGAAGTATTGTAAGTCTAGTCTGTTTCCATGTGATTTGGACCATAGTTTCATCCTAATGTCAAGGTAGGGCTTGTGGTCTTACAGATGACTTAGTATAGTTTGAGACAAATGCAGAAGTGAAAAGATAGCACCTTTTTGGCTCTAATGGATTTTTTTTTTCTTAGAACATTTTCCTCTCCCATCTCCAAAATAAAATGTGGCAGAGAAGGCACATCCTTATGTTTTTTTTCCAGGCCTTATGTTTATTTCCTTGTGTGTCTTGTTTCTGTAAGAATTTTTCTTTATAGGGCAGCAATAGGCTGCTGATGTTTTTTCTTTAATTGTCAAGGAAAACAATCATAGTAAGCTCTGCAAAGTCTATAAAGGATTGTTTTTTTCTTATGCAAGATGTGAGTTGCACTGAAATGTCTTACATTAACCCTTGTTTTCTGTTAGTAAAGAATAATACACTTTCAGTTAACATTCTAATTTGTATTTAGGCAAGACCTAGTTTTAAATTCTAATTTGTATTTAGGTATGCTGCAGGTGGATATCTGGAGCTTTGTGAAACAAACCTAGTGTCATGCCCAATTTTGAAGAAAATAGCAGAATGTTGTAATAAAGTAGGAAAGCGTTTTTCTAGGCTTTCTCTTCATGTGATGTTCATTGCCTAATTAGTCCTTCCTCAATTTTGTCATTTTCATCTTAGCTCACTCAAGAAACTGGTGATTCTTTGACAAATAAGTTGCTTACAGAAGGTGTCAGAAGCTTCATTTGACACCAGACAATGGCTTGAAAACATCAGCGCTTGCTGCTGAATCCACCTGCTTTAACAACCCACCAAAAAAAGCACTGCTTTTCCTATATCAACATGTTCCCAGCTTCCCAGACAGCTCTATGCCTGCCAGGCTGCAAGAGGCTCTATGAAAATCCCCAGGATTTCTCCCACTTTCCTGCTGAATGCTGTTAGGAGCAAATGCTGTCACTTTACAAACCAAACTAATGCTGGAAAAACTCCAGCCTCAAGCCACGACGCATCCTTTCTGCATCCTACCTGGTGAGGAAGTAAACCAGTCTCACTCAAGCTGCTTCTAGGATTTCTCAAAGCAGCATGTACATAACTGTGTGGCTCTCAAAGTAGTGAAGGACTTACCAGGTCTGAAGCTAATGATATAATTTCTCCATTTGTTACCTTCAGTCCTTTTATTACTCGGCTTATGTGCTGTCACGAAATTATTACATGAACTAGGAATTCTAATTTTGTTTTCCAGTTATTAGAGCCAGCTTCATTAACCTTCCTCTAGCAGAAACAGAGTTCTTATTTCTGAAAACATGGCTCTGATAAATATACACTTCCAGACTGGTTTGCTTTTTCTTATTGGCCTTACAAGCCACAGTGTATCTCCTGCTTATAGCAAAAAATAAAGTTGTATGTTGGGACTTCAGTCATAAATAGTCTGGACTTTATCTTTGTTATGAGGATTCAAAAACCTTTCAAGGGTTTGAGGACATGCAAGCTATGAACTTTAATCTGCTTTTGCATCTGATGAATTCAGCATGTAGCCCTAAGAACAGTTATTCCTAAATAAGTGTCAGTGGGATGACCTTAGGTGATGTTTAGTTTATATTTTCCTTTCTTTAGACTGTTGGCCCAAAGAACTCTCCAAAGTGGGGGGATAGAATACTTAAAGCCTCTGCTGGTGACTTAAATGAATTTTAAAATTTTCTTGCTGAATTACTGGGTAGACTGATTTTTTTTTTCAAAGCAGAAAGGCTTTCTATTTAAAAATTGGTTAGCTTCTGGTGAAAATCAGGAAATGAAGGATAGCTAGAAAATTCCAGAAGTTATCAGGAAGGCATTAGGGAGGAAACAGTTTTGTAGGCTGACTGACCTTCATTTCACTTAGTACCTTAGTTGTATCAGTTGAATAATTTTAGTGCCTTCTAGTTGTAAATGGCTATTGTGCTGTGGGTAATGATGTGTGTGTGTGCGCGCTTTCATTCCAAACTGTTTTCTAATTGCAGCTCAAAATACTTGTAAAAGTCAAAGCTGCCTTTTATAAATATAAACATTTTAAATAATTCTGAAGATTGATCTATTTCAATTGCAGGGGGAAGACTTTTTTTAAACTTGGATTGCTTAAAAGGAACAGTTCATCATGGCTGAATTATCACCTGAAGAAATTCAGCTGAGGGCCAACCAGGTCACTGATGAGGTAAATATTTTAGGAAGCCACCTGGGATAAAAGTAATTATCTATTCAAGAATGTAATCTCCTATAATACAGGCTGGGATGCTGACTTGGCAATAACGTAGCTGAATGTTCCATGCATCTCTTTACCCAATAGATACTGGAGTCAAGGCTTTTCCTGAAAATGAGGATGAATTTTTAGCTTCAATTTTATAGCTACCTTCTTAATTGAGTGCTGACTTTTCAGTCATGATTATTGAGATGAAGCAGCCTGAGTGCTTACATTCTTCTAAATCATATTGATACCCAGTGCCTCTAAATTGTTTAATTTGAACTATGTGCCTTTGAATTTTTTTCTTGTAATGACTTGCTGATAGAATAAGCAAAGATTGGTAAATTTTGAAAAACAAGGATTTACTAATTAAAAAGTTGTGTGATTCTTTGATTATTATTAGTCATTTGTGTATTATTGGCAGGCTAATGAACTTTTGGGCACTAGTATCCTGAAAGTGAACTGGTGAACTAGTAATGAGGACTAGCAAATGCTGACATGAGCTGTTGATACTGATTTTTTTTTTTAATTGTTCTTTCTTTAGTCTTTGGAAAGCACCAGAAGGATTCTTGGCTTGGCCATTGAGGTAAGGAAAAGCTTTTGAATTCTTTGGGGATTTATTCAATTGCAGTATAAGCAGCTGCATGTTAACTCCATGCTGGCTATCACATGGTGACCTTCAGGGCTTTTTTTTTGTGTGTGTGTTTTATTTTTTCCTAAACTCTTTTTTTTGAGGGAGACAATTACTTGAAGGTGCTACTTTAGATCATAGAGTTGAAATACTTGCATCTATTTTTTTGCAATATTTAAAATCAGGTTAGGGAAACTTGAATACCCCATTTCCTTTAAGTGAAAATCCTTCCTCTGACTATTGTCACTTCATTCTCATAACAGCACTTGTCTTTTGGCTCTCTCCACCAAACAGTGTGAAAAAGTGCTGCTTGAGGGAGGGTAGGATTTAGAAGTCTGCTCCTGGTTCTCAACAAAAGCAGTTTTGCGTGTACCGTTTTGCCATCTATTCATCAGTTGCTGCTTTAAAATAGTTACGTATGGTGATAAAACGGAAACAAATCTGTATTTCAGCTTTATTCTGTGCCATATATTTCTTCTTTGTTACACATGATAGTTATACTCCCAAAAGTAGTTGAAACCTTACTTCTGATAGTATAATTTCCAAAACAGAGAAAGCTAGTAGCTAGCTGGAATTGAGGTAGCAAAAATTAACTGGTTTAGCAAGACAGTCCTTCCAGTACTTGAGTATGCCATAGACAAATGGGAAACTGGAGAATAAGTATTAATGTGTCTCAAGGCTAATGCTAAGTCTTTTAGCATCAAAAACTTGAAAGGTTGTTCTGCGAGAACAGTAAAAATTACTCTGAAAAATAAGAATTCTATTAGGTCAGCCCCACTTTAGAACCTGTATTGACAAGTTCATCTTGTGGAATTAAAGATGATTCTGTTATCCATGAGATTTGAATTGGTATAACCCAGTGAATTTCAAATGTGAATGTTAAGAGCACTTGATACATACAGTGAGCCAAGCTCATATTAATGATGTCACACTTTGGTGATTCTTAAGATAGAGCTTCCTATGCTAGGGATTATTTTATGCTGAAAGCTTATAACAAAACACGGGCATAACCTTCATGCCAGGTCCAAGACTGGGCCTGTGAAGAACTATACCTTGATATAATCCCAGCTGCAAGTTTTTGCCTGTTTCTAAAAGCAGTGACAGTCTCATTTTTCTGATCCTTTCTGCTAAGTTCCCAGAAATGGATTTGTAGGCTCTATTCTGATTTTTGGTGTTTCTCTTTTCCTTCCCCTCTCTGACTTTCAAGACATTCTCATTGCAGCTATAGGGATTAGTTGAACTAAATGCCACTTTTTCCAAATGAGATAGTTAAATTTTCCTTTTTTAAAAAAGGTTTAGCTGTGGGAGAGCTCAATTTGAGTGCTGCAATAAATGGTTACAATTTTATCAGGCACACTATCACTAATAGTATTTGACATTATTAGTCAAGCAAAAGACTTGATCTGATGAAGTACACTTAGAGAAGCTGTTACTAGCACATACATAGCACTTCGTACAAAGCTGGTTGGCTTAACAAATCTAATCTAGAGACTTGCTTTTTAGTACTGTTATATTGGAAGCTGTTCTTTAAATCTGCAAATTTATTTCTACAGTCCCAGGATGTAGGCATCAAGACTATCACCATGCTGGATGAACAGGGAGGTGAGTTTTTCCATCTTTTTTCTCATGTTAAAAATCAATATTATGAATAAAAGAAAAAGGGTTATCACTGAGGTGTTGTTGCTGAAACTGAAGGTTACTTGTGTAAAAATGGGATGTGCTAATTGGATATTACAATGTGTGCAATTCTCCAATTGCATTTATTAGATATTCTCAAGTGTGCTACTGCTTGTAGTATTTATAAGAGGATTTAAATTTTCTGAAATCCTTAGTTACAGCACAATCCAACTTCTGCAGTTGGAGCAAACTTTGAATTTATTCTAAAAGTAGCTATAGAAGTACTGCCCTAAAGATAGGGAAGACTCTTAATATTACAAAATTTAACCACTTAATCTTTTTTCCTACCAAAAAGTCCAGAAGAGAGACAGCAACAAAGCTGTCAGTATAAAGATGAAGCTGCAGCTTTTGAATCTGTTTGAAAAAGGTGCTATCTCTTTCCCCAGTAATGTCTGTGTTTACTCAGGTTGCTCATGTCTCTTCTAGAACAACTAAATCGCATAGAAGAAGGCATGGACCAGATAAACAAGGACATGAGAGAAGCTGAGAAGACGCTGACAGAGCTCAACAAATGTTGTGGGCTCTGTGTCTGTCCTTGCAACAGGTTGGTTAAATGGATCCCTAAGCATAAAATTCTGCTACCAATAACTAATCAACTGGGAGATGGCCTACAATAAAAGAAATAAACTGAAGCTCTCAAAGCTGATTGTACGTTTAAACGTACAACTCTTCTAGATCATACATGAGTATTTAGTTAAAGCTTACTTGTATATATATTGTGTCTCAATACACAATACAGTGTAAGTATAGGCGCTGTAGTTACTCACAGTGTAAGTATAGGCGCTGTATATCATCTTGCTTGAATGCACTCTAGTCTCTTCAACATTTTTTGGTTAGTAGAAGAGTACCATTGCTTAAATAGCCATAAAGCCACATATAAATGGCTATACATTAGATATCTGACTCTGAAAATCATCTCTTGCCAGAAGTATTTCTCTGCTAACTTATTAGAAACTTGGTAATGCCATTTTAATCAACATTATAATTCAGTGTTATGCAAGACAACTTGTGTTTTGGAGGGAAAAAAAGCAATATGGGTTCTCAAGATAATGAAAATCTTCATGCTTTATGGAGGAAGAGAGTAGGAAAGCAGGTGCTGATCTTGAAACTTCAGTTTCATTACTGAATATACACAATCTTGTAGATTTCAGTGTTGTTCTCATCAGTAACATGAGCACCATATTCAAGTCATTTAAGACTAATGCCTGTTTTATGGTACTTAATTTGTAGTTCTGAACATTTTAACCAAAACAGTGATCAGAAATCAGTCTTATTTGCTGCATAAAGCATTTTTAAAGCAGTGAAGTCATTATGCAACAAATTACGAAGTTGGTTTGTGTGAATCAAAGGTGATCAGTCACATTTTATGTGAAGTAGTAAGTTATTTTAAGAGAAACCACATAAGTGAATAGTCTTTTCCTCTTTTTCATGGAGAGGAGAAAAACCCTCATGATCCAGCTGAGAGGTTTCTGAAATTTTAGTAAAAATACCTTGGAGCTAACAATCTGTCTATTCAATAGGATATTTTTAAAGAGATCACTTAAGATAGATATGAAGCAAAGTTCTAAAAGATCTTTAGAGTTTTACTGTTTTGAAATGATTAATATCTCTGCATTAAGCTTTGGATAGCTATCCTTAGTTTCATATTAGCTTTACCAGACTGGTGAACTTAGAGCATTTTTTACCCACTGAAGTTGAGCAGCAGATTGGCACTGAGCAAACTCTGAATCTTTGAGCTCTTATGGTGCACCTCAGATCACTGATTGCAATAAAAGGTCTAATGAGGTGTGTACAACAAGAGGCATTGACATAGAGAAGTCCCTCTATTGGAGTAGAGGAGCAATATAAAAACTGTGAGCATTTTTTACATATATGTAATACAGCTTTAGGCAAATATCAAATTTATTGCATATGTAAATTTTAATTATTGAATAGAACAGATTTGTCAGTGTCCCATTTGCTAATGGGTTGTCTGCTGTAGTTTTTGTATTTTTCACAAACCATGAGCTTCAGTCAGAACATATGATGTATTAAATATTGCTCTATCTTGGTCCCCCCCAGCTTATTGATGTTTTTGGAGATCTTTGTTGTGAAAGCACAAGGCATAGACACTACTCTAATACCTGTGTACTAATAGCAGTTTGCCTGTTTGCTGGTCTTTACTGTTCTTTCTTCTCCATTCTCTCCTAACACTGCTGTTTGCTATCTAAAAATGAAGACTAAGATAAGAAGCTGTATTCACTTAACTGGTGAAAATGGATTTTAGCAGAAGGTCAGTCTTACTAGTGCAGCATGCACATGTAACCAGCTGTCTAAGGTGCTGCTTCTCTCGGGTGTATGTTGCATGTGCATGATGTCTGCATGCAGGACTCCTCGTGGCTGTGCTGTGTTGTAATAGTGACGTGTCTGGGGACTGCCAGCTCCTACAGATGGATCAGCTGTGGGAATGTTGAGCGCTCTCCTGAGCCGGTGCTGGTTTGTCAGACTGTGCAAGCTGAAAGTCTTACTGACTCCTAAGGGAGCTAAACATTGAGGTGGGGGGAGTTTTGTGTTCAATACTTGGAAATACAACACTTAAGTTTCTCAATCTGATTTTTCTTTAACTTGCTTAGCTTGAACAACAGTTGCAGTTTCTAGTTACCTGCTGCAGATGTGAAAATAGTTTCAGGCAACTCTTATTGAACACTAAATTCCTCACTGTTACTGCTGGTACCTGCAGCTTTCCTCATTCAAGCACATGGAGTGCTCCTGTTACAGCTTTAGTCTAGTGGCTTAAAATACGCTCAGTCTAGTTGCAGCAAACCTGAAAGTTGCTAAATTGACTAGTTCATGTTTCTTTGGAATTTTACCATGTTTAACTGTGTAGTTATGAATTGAAAGCTAACTCTTGTGTGTATCCAACATAGATTATACTTCACTGGTCAGACTGTAAGAAAAGTAGTAGCTTCCCACTTGGATTGTGTGTCAGAAGGGAGTATCTCTTCAATACAACTTGTTTTACACTTTAAAATGTGAAACTGTTTGTATATCTTTCCTCTTACGCTTCTATTGATATGTGTTTCTTAAAGCTAATTCATGTCAGGCTTTTTGTCTCTTGAATTATCTGGTAATGGTCTGTTGGCTTGTCACTCTAATGGCATTAGTACTATTGAACTGTAGAGCCAAAGGAGTATTTAGATATGCTTGCTATTTCATAAATGTTTTCTAGATTTATCTGTGTATTTAAAATATACACACACGTGTATACACACACACACTTTTGAGAAGAAAGATTTGGCTTTAGAAAATGATGGATAAAAATATCCAACTTAATCTGGATTGGATTATTATTGGATTTGAAAGGTTTGGATTATTTATGTTCTTGAGTAGTGCTACTACTTTCCTTTGGGGAAGATTCTTCATTTCCTTTTCCCTGAGAAGGATCTGAACCTGTCTCAAGACTAGCTTCTGACCTATCTCTAGATAAGCTTTATTTTGTGACAGTGTAAGCTCTCCTTATACTGTCACAAGCTTCTTCTCTCTTTTGGTCAGATGCTTCAGGAATATTGTCCTTGTATTAACACTGAGATTGAATTAAACTGCCTGCAGAGTAACTCAGTTACACGTGCAAGATATACGATGAACAAGATGATACAAGAAACAATTACACAGTCAGATTTTTGTCTGTTTAAAAATTTCTTGTTGAGACACAAGATATGTTTCTGAATATAAATTGAGATCAATGCGAACTTCATTCAAGAAGCCATTTTTTTTCTAGTGTAGCACCTCAGACTTCTGGTTTTCATTGAGCAGGACGAAGAACTTTGAGTCTAGCAGGGCGCACAGAGCAGCCTGGGGAGATGGCACCGAGAACTCGGCAGACCACGTGATATCCATGCAACCCAGAAGAGTCAATCAGCAGCCTCAGGCCTCTGGAGGACCGAGCAGTGGATATATCACACGGTTTGTTTCCTCCCTTCTCACTTCCAGTGCAGATAGACCAAGCTGCTGGTCATCAGATTCTTTTCAGATCTATTGCACCTGTTAACTTTAAAATATTCTAAGGCTCTGAGGATCTACTGCTTAAAGATTGAGATGTCTATGCTTTCAGTAGTAGTAGAGTTCCTGTGCACTTTTTCCCTGCCTTCCCCCTGCAGTGGTAATATCTTCAGTGTCTTTCTGGATATATCTAAATTTTTAGTGCTCGTTAATAAATGACTTTTCAAGCTTAGCACCTTAACTGTCATGCAAGTATACTTGATGAAAGTCTGATGCCTTCAGCTTTCTCTTGTAGCTGTTACTTTCAGTATTACTGAAACAGCCTCCAAATTTATGCCTTACTCTTTTTCTTGTCCTTCTTGGAATACAAGGGTATTACAAGAAGGAGGAAATTACTTGGTGTGAATATTGTGCATATTGGCTAAATTTGTACTGGGAAAAATCTAATATGGTAAATTTGAGAAGCGGGCAAAAAGCAAGTCTTTGTTTATGAAAACATTTGTTTAATATTTGAATAGGATAACAAATGATGCCAGAGAAGATGAAATGGATGAAAATCTTGCTCAAGTAGGAAACATTCTGGGGAATTTGAAAAATATGGCTTTGGATATGGGAAATGAGATTGATGCCCAGAATAAACAAATAGACCGGATAACTATCAAGGTAAGGTCACAGTGTTCCTGTTGCATTCAATTTAGAAGTTGTTGCTGAGAAGTGATAAGGAACAGTTTACTGTCCTATCTGTCTGCCATTTCAATATGTATATGCCGATACTTAATAATTTGAAATAATTTGAAAAGATTAATTTGAGAACTAATTAATTTGAAAATTATTGGAATTTGAAAGAATATTAGAAATTAGAATTATAAAAACTAATGAAAGAAGGTATTAGTTTGAAAGAACTAATTGGATTGGCAAACATAGCCTGGAAGTAAATTTAAGGGATAATTGCTCTTGCTGTTAGGAAAAATAGTCTTGTGGATATTGGGGAATAATGTTATTTATCAATAGTGAGACTTTTGAATTAAAAAAAGCCTATAATCCTCTTACTTATAAGTTACACTGCCAGAGGGAATTATTAGCCCTCATTCTTGTGAACAGGTTAGTGTTGGGACTGAAGATTGGGATGATGGGTTTTGCAGGTGTCCCTCATCTACATATCAATGTAGTTGGCCCCAACTAGTACCATCTATTTTTTCACGTTTTAAAGACTGATCTCCCAAATCAGAATAACCGTATACAAATCTGACTTGGGGTTTTCCTTCCAGTGGTAAGTTGTAAGGAAGTCTTACTCTAAAAATCTCCTTACGTAAAGAACACAAGTTCTTGGAGACATCCTTACCAAGAAATGTGAAAGCGAAAACTTTAGGTTTTTTTATATCCTCAAAAAAAAGGCAGACAGCAATTGCTTTAAACTTGTAAAATGAAGTATAAACAGGGAGTTAAAAATATTAGCGACATTTAGTAAGGCCAGCAGCAAGAAGAAATGCTTTCAAATATACAAACTAGCCAGTCTTGATCTGTATGCTGATTGTACCTATGGGAACATCTGAATTTTTGGCTAGGGTTGGTAAGAGTGTGAATATGAATAAGGTCTCAAATAGTATGGAAGCTGAATCAAGATGAAAAGAAAATCTCCAAAGGTAGTATTGTATGAAGAAACAAAGAGCAGTGTGAGGCTTTACTTTCCAGTTGAGTTAATACTTAGAATTTAAAGGAAAAAAAGTACAATTCACTTAAGCTATCCACCCAGTCTATCCACTTATGGTATTGGCTTTTCCTTACAGGGTCTGCTAGCTAGATCACTCATCTGCCAGGGTGCCTAACACATTGTACCTCTTGCTTTCTACAGCAGGTTCTTGCCTCTCCCCTTATTCTGAACTTGGAGAGGCTCTTCTGGAAGGAGAAAACAGAAGGAAAGGGCCCTCATTTTTTTTTTCCCCAACCCATTTTACTCTGGCTATGTGAAATGGCTGATAGAAGGGTTGGCTGTAGCTTCTTGCGAGTTCAGCTTATCTAGGGAGAGCAGAGGCCATTTCTCAACTTATTTGTGACTGCTGACTGGATGGGGAATTTATTTTGAAGTTTCTTACACTTTTCTATGAAACTCCATCCTGATAGTTGCTCAGCTAGATGTGGTGGTTAGTTTTTTTAGTGCTGTAATAACAGATAAAATACAAAACAAAGTCTCTTTCTTCTTTTTTTAACAAATACCATACTAGTGGGACCCTAGGGCATTGTGGGGATGAAAAATAGGGATTTGCACTATGCAAAATAATTCTTTAGACCGATAGACCACTTCTGGGTTTGCTTAGACCACTTTCAGTTTTGTTTAATAATTTTTGATCTGTAGTACTGAAGCTGTTTTGTAGAGGTTCCCAAGATATTTCAACACTTGAAGAGAAGGGCAACGTCTTTGGGGAATATTTATCCCCTTGATCTGTTAATGCTCTTCCTGAGCATTCCTTGCTGAAGCAGCAGCTCTGTTTTGGAGGTTGGCAAAAAAACTTCAACTTTTTTTCTGATTGTTACTGCCCAAACTGCCTGTCTTCATCTAGAAAAAAAAATTATAATGCTTAGAACTGTTCTGTCTACTACAACACTAATACCTTGAGATTCAGGGGTTCCAGTTGGCTTGAAGTATTAAATTGTTTTGCATCTGATTTGCATCTCTTTTTTTCCAGGCGGATACAAACAAGGATCGCATTGAGCAGGCCAACATCAGAGCCAAGAAACTCATTGACAATTAAAGCCTGCTGTCATTGTTCAGTGACACTGTCTCTCCAGCTGCAAACCACCATATTCATGGATCTGTGAAACTCTTCTATTCTGAAATAAGAAGGGCTGGGAAATATGAAGCAAAACCCTTTCTATAAGGGCTCTTTCTTATTTTTTTAATTGCTTCATGTAGGCTTGGCCTTCTTTCCAAGAAAGCAGCCAACATAACTTCCTCCTCATCCGCCTTCACTTCCTTCAAACTGCTCAGGGCTAAAAGTGTCATGGCTTTGAGAATGTTCAGGCTTGTTTTATTTTCCTTCCCCAGATTATTTTCCTGCCTCCAAAGTATAGCCCCTTATTCAAGTGGAATAAGCAGGTTAACCTGAAATCAGTTGTTGAAAGTTGGAGAGGGCACTTTGCACAGTTTAAAATACCTCATAAGTTGAGTGTCTTCACTAAAATAGGGGTTGGTGAGTATTGTCTGCCTTGTATCTCTAGCTGGCTAACCTATAGTTTTGCAATCCAAACCACCTAAGAGTGGCTTGAGATTGAGTTAGTGTGCTACAGAATTTAAGGAGTTATTGCCCACTAGTTACTACTCCTGGGTTGAGGGCTTTAAAACACTTTCTAAACACAAACTTTAATGTAAAGGTAACTGGAGGAGTACGCAGGTTTCCTTTTCTTCACTTGAGGTGACATTGATTTAGAGGGCAGCCTTAGGGAACTGTGCTGCTTTGTCTGGCAATGTGTTCTGTACATAATGTTCCAAACACCATGCACATGTGAGTAGAAGAAATCACTTCCCTAGAAAGTATTTATTAAATGGAAGAAAATTTTTACACTCATCTAATCTTTAAATGAATGATGCAATGTAGCTAGTAGCACATCACATATCAGATTTTACCTTGGCCAGTTTCTATTGAAATTCAGTTATGCCTTTTTCCAGTGCACTATTAAAATAGTGCTAATGTAGTGACTGAGACCTTGTGCAGAGGTTGTTCTCAGCAGTGAATTTGTAGGGAGCATCTTAACGCTGCTGAAAACAGAGAAGCTTACTACAAGTGAAGCTTTTCTTGCCACAAGTCTGGAGGAAGCATTAACTCTTCAGAAAAACTGTGTGCTAGTTCTAAATAAACTTAGTTTGAAATAGATGGCTGACTGGCTTATTACTGCACATTTGGGGCTGACAATTTTCCAAGTTAAAATTGACTGCAACTAAAATATTTTGTGGAATAGAGGAGTCTCACCGGGTGGGGGGAGAGGAAGCTTTCTTTCTAAGAAGAGGAAGTCACTTTGACAAGTAAATACCAAGTGACCATATTGATGGGTGGAGTTAGGTATTTATTATGTCTGTATTGAAAGTGAAAATGATACTTCAATTTAACTTGCAGTAATGAATGTTGGGTGGAGGAAAGAAATCTCCAAACCAAATTTACAGAGAAAAACAGCATCTTTTTTAAGAAGGACAGTCTGTATAGCCATTAGCAGAAAATTCTGGTGCTAGTGATATGAGACTAATTTGCTTAGATTTCAGATGAAAAAAAGCTAAACACTCTCTTCTCAGTGGTAATACAATAATTGTGCCTAGTATACTGTCAGCTTGCTCCCAGAACAACTTGAGTTTTAGATTAAAACAAAATCCTGACCAAAGAATGGAACTGCTGCATGTAATAAATAGGGCAGTGAAAGACTGTAATATGAATAAGGTAAATAGCAATTTTAGATGACTGGATACTGCTGAAGCACCTCCTGGCTTCTGTCTTCCAGTAGCTGTTGGAATATACTAAATTTTAAAAGTGGATTCTCTACCCTTAGTAGTAATGAAGACTATATGCTTAAAAGCCCAAATAACAAAAAGCACTTGTAGCAACATTGCATAATGAACTTCTAAATGAATGCAGGGTTTTTTCCCTTAAGAACTTCAGGTTAACTGGAAGAATGCTGCTGATTGTGAAAGCAGAGCATATGATGTATTTAATTGTGATTGTCTTTTGAAACAGGAGACTAAAGCAGTTGCCTTATTCTGCCTAGATCAACCCAGACCTGTTCTTTAGCTGCTTGAAACACCTTCAGCTGTTTTTCTCCCTTGCTACTATAGGTCTGTTTTATTGACTTCCCTGAGCAATAATCAAACTAGTGCATTGGTTAAGAGAATACCATGACTGGTATGCAGAATCTTTATATTGCAATGAACAACTCACAAGTAATTTGAGACTCTAAGCTTGAGTATTAGCTGATATAAATACTATTCTCTGATGTAGCAAGAGCTGAAGCCTTGGGGGAGTTGGTGCCTTAAAGTTCAGGAACGGTGGGCTGCTCGTGTTGTTGTCTTACTGTTGTCTGTAGAATAGATGCTAAAAATTCCACTTCTCCTGGATGGAATCAACACTTGTGCGTCTCTATTTCTGAATGCTATTAAGAATGAAGGTTTACAGTTTCTGCTTTTGATTGTGTTTATATATTGTACACAGCAAAATACAGACTTTTATAATTGAATCTGGTTTAGAACTGTTTTCTTGTAGTTAAAATGGTCTTTGCTTGGTTTCCTGTCCTTGAAAAACTTGGCAGAACTAACTGCTACTATGCAACTAGGAAGCTTCCCTTCTATTTTTGTCTTTCACAGAAATCCTGATAATAAATGAAGGAATAGGGTCTGAGGAATCTACTACTCTTGCAGTATCTTGTGTAGGATTTTGCCTTGTTCTCCAAAAATGTTGCAACTCCAAGGTAGTCAAGGACCTTAACAATTACAAGCTGAAGTGTTTCTTGGTGTGTTGGTGACTACATAAACAAGATGCTGACTTAAGTTCTTAAATGCTTCCAGAAGTAGAGGTACTTCCCCCCTGCCCTCCCTTTCCTTTGATATCAGTGTTATCTGAAGCATTTTCCAACTCTTCTACTGTTGATTTTTCCCCTAAACTTATTCTGCCATCTTTTTTTGCCATTTATGCTGAATGTCACAGAAATTGGAGGAGGGGAACATACCTTAGCACATCTATTTATAATAAAGACCATAACCCAGTACTGCAAAGAGTATACATAATGACTATAGAGCCATCTTTGTGGGCGAGTTGTTCCCTTGTGCAGATAGAAAATATTCCCAGAACAATGCTCTTATTTTAGCGTAACGTCTCATGAATGACAAGTCTGTGAAGTACTTGAGAACTTGGGTGTCAAGTAGAATGAGCTGAGCTTTTATTATAGGCCTGGGGCCTTGCCTTTAGTCCCTGACACACTTCCCCATGTCAGAACCTAGCAGAAAGCTGAGCCCCCTTCAGCAGCTGTGCAGGGCCTTGCAGTGATGGTGTCATTCAGGTGTGTTTTAAAATATTTCCTGACTTGTCTTGCAAAACACAGTAGCTATGGAAGACACTATTCTGCTGTCAGCTCTTGCACAAAACTAGTCCTCCCATCCTCCCCATGGTGTATATATACCTGCAGGAGGGGTTCTTAAGTAGTTACCTATTTAATGTTGTAGAAGGAGCGACTTTGGAAGCACTATTGCAATGTAAGAAAAACAGGCATCAAAATGGACAGGAAACTAGATAACCCTTTTAAGCACCTTCTAAAAGAATGGCTATCTCTAGTTTGAGATCATCTGAGCTTTTTTTTAATTGCAGATCCAGAAATTAAGTAGTTACAGTAGCCTTGGGTGGGAAAGTGGAACAAAAGAACAAAATAGAACAAAAATATCTAAAGCTACCCATAAGCTTCGGTCACAAATGCATCCAGGCATGTAAGGCACTTTCCACTGTACGCTTTTCTAAGCATACAGTACCTAACTGCACTGCTGTTCCGGGGCTCTCACAAGGTTACTATGCATTCTCAAAAAAAGTCCAATTGTGGTATACAGTACCACTAGCTGATGAAATCCCCAAAGCAGGGGCTTCTACAATGGTAGCATAGTTCTAAAGTGGTTAACTGCAGCACTTGCCCCAAACTTAAGCACTTTTTCCAAAATGCTTTACTAAAATAGACAAATACATTCTCCTTTTCAGTACTTGTTGCATAATTGTATACAGTTCAGCCTGATTCTTTTGGGTAAGGCAGTAGCAATGAGATGACTGAGACTTTCAGCACAGCTCTGTACACAGACTTGGTGCAAGGATATCTTCATCAAAATACATTTTTAGGGAGTGCAATGAAGGTAAAATCTAATTTTTATTAGATAAAGCTCAGAAAGGGAGTGTAGTGCAATTCTTGCTTAAGGGGGAAGAAAGCCTGTGAAGTACAGTATAAATAATGCTCAAAACATGATTTGTTTACCTGAAGCAGTAGTGCAGCTATAACTAATTGTGCTTCATAAAAGCTTACACAGGTTAAGAACTATAACATCTTTGAAAGCTCTTTGCTGTAACATGCTGATAGTAAGACATAGGACAATGTTTTGGATCTGCTTTGGTAGCAGAACTTCAGTGCACTAACATCGAAAAGTATTTCCAGGAGAAGTAATCCTCTTATAAAGTACTAAGCTTCCTCCCAAAGAGAAGCTGTGGCAGCTTCAAAACACTCATTCTCTTTCTTGTCAAAGGAAGGGCTCTGACAAAGGAGAACAAGCAGTGTGCTAAAAGCTCTAAGGGCAAGGAATCTAAACCAGCCCCAGGCCTGTTCATCAGTTCAATATCCACATTTTCTACTTCAAGTTTATTCGATGTTGCCTTAGCTCAGCAGACTCTATCGGACTACTTGAGGGGATCGTGTTGTCAGTCTCCTTCATTGGTCTTCGTTTATGTCACTGAGGCTGGTGCTCCAGTAACTAACTCTTCTTTCCAGGCCCACACAGGGTCAGAATAACGATCATGCAAACTTCTTCTTTGTAGCTGTAAACCGCTCCATGTACTACAAAAGAAAGTTTTAAGATTCAGAAGTTAATGCAAAGCCTCCTCACAACTGCACACAGCTAACCTGCTCATGGAGGGAGCTTCTGCAGCTAAAGGATTATTATTTGGTGAACAAAAGCATTAGAGCTTTATTTAAAAAAAATTTTGGAGCAATCTGCTGTAACACAGATTGCTCTTCCTGAAAGCCCTCAGGATGCTCATCTGAAGTGTTAAGACTTCAGCTAAGACTGCAGTGTTGTAGAGCATCTATTAGTTTCTATTTCTTTTTATCCTGCTTTTCTGCACTGTAAAAGAGATTTACTCTCCTTGCATATACACACGTGTCATCATTACCTACCCTTCCAACACCCTGATGGAAGAACATGGAGCCTGAATCCTATAAGAAAGTTAATTTTTTAAAGAATTCTTGAAGTTCTTTTTGGAGGATAGTTAAGAATCCAGTATTGGCAACACCACCGCTATCCTATGCTTTTATTCAGCAGCACAGCAGCTCTCTTAGTATTCCGAAAAGGCCCTGGACAAGGCGTTTACAAGACACTTCTTTGCAAGAAGTAAAATTTCACAAACCTTGTCATAACCCTCAAGTTCTCTGAGTTTCTTGATTTCAAAGAGGTTGCCTTCTACTGCAAGCAGTGAGATCTGGGAATCACTGAGGATGCTCTGAGGAAGCATGCTGAGTTCTAGACAGTTTTCTTCCAAACGCAGGACCTTGAGGCGTGGACAGTGGGAGATCTGCACTGAGATCTGGGATATCTGATACAAATGAAAGAACAAAAGTGAAATAGGATGAAGTGATCTGTGATTACTTACAGTGGCTGTGCTTCAGCCTAATGTGGAAAAATTATTCCATGAACGTTAGCTATGTTAACAGTAACTTCTTTATGACAATAATGTTTAAACAACAGTGAAGTTTGTTTTTGTTCTTCCATGATGATTGGCAACCCACACATCTGTTTAACCGATAAATCTCAAATTTTAACTATGAGAAGATAACTTAAAACATTTGTTGAGTAGGGACTTGACAGTCAAATCATGCAGCTGAAGATACCACAGTATACAAATTTAGTGGCAAACAGCCCATTTCTGTTGCATTCAAGAGACTTTCCTTCTACCTATAACGTTTTGGTGGTCTCTGCTTTTGTTCTGGGATGTACTAACTCCCAAGACGATCACATCCTAAATCCACACGCCTAGAGCATCTTAGTTACCAGACCTGGTTCTGATTCAAATTGAGTTCAATGGCCTGCAATTCTCCCACTGTGTCAGGCACGTTCTGGATCTGGTTTTTGGAAAGATCTACCACATCCAGTTGGCGAAGAGCACACAGCTGTGTAGGCACAGTCCGAAGCTGGTTTCCAGAAAGGCTCAGGGTTTTGAGAGCTGAAAGTTGTCCAAATGCAGCTGGTAGCTGTCTCAAGTGGTTGCCATTCAAGTGCAGCGATTCCAGTTTTTTCAGTTTACACAGCTCTTCAGGTAAAGCAGCTAAAAACAAGACACAGAACAAAAGAAATGACCTAAACAAAGAACAGCAAACATATGCATCCATTTAATTCAAATAAGCTTCTGCAGAGAATACACTGTGCTATATTATAGTAATTTCCACCAGGAATCCCCTAAGTTTTTCAGTGAAGACAAGAGTTCCTGCACAGCAAACAAACCCATTGACAAAACATGCTTTTTAACTATCTTCCATAAATACAATAGAGTGGGCCTTCAGACCACAGGCTGAAATCACTTCTCTGCTCTGAGAGGATTTTACACTATCAATCACTCTTCACTAACCACTTGGCCAATGTGTCCTGTAACATTTGAAGCACCATTCACAGCTTCAAAGGTCTGCTGCAACCCTTCAAAGTTACTACTCAAAAGTAGTAAGTTCTCAGATAATTCATACTGTGTCATACCACAGAAGAGCAGAAGTCTTATCAGGTAAGGTCTGCTGGGGCTCATTCAGCCCTCACTCTTTCCACACTCTTAGTAACGTGTAGCTCTCCTGAACTGCACTACAGCAGCAGCGAGGTTTTTAAAAGGAAAGAAAAAGCAGATAGTGCACAATTGCACACACAAAAATACAGTCAGTTTCTTCAGCTCAATCTTCTCTATGCAGAGGCAAGAATTTTATTAGTCATCCAAGAGACAGTACTTCTCATAGCTCAGGGTTTCTGAGCTTCACTGAACTTCCACAGGCCATGCCTAATAGAAACAATAGCAACCACTGAATTGCCAGCAGTACTGATGATCTTCATTACTTGTTCTTTGTATAAGGACTAAACCATCTGAAGCTGTTAAACTTCCAGAGCAGACAAGTCACAGCACAAAAGCTACATGGTTTTAAGTACTTACAGGTCATTGTAAAACTGATAACACAACTAAGTTGGCAACTAGTGCAGAAGAATTTTTTTTTTTTCTCTGTGCATGAATTCCAAAGATTTCAGTATAGTTGACTAAATTTCCCGTTTACATCCAGTGAGAGTAAAATCATTAAATTTAGTTTCTAAGCAAAGGAATCAAACATATTATTTTAAAAATCTCTGGAGATATAAATTAGCAGGCATACTCAGTCTGTTGTTGTTCAGAGCAAGGCTCTTCAGAAAGGAGAACTTTCCTATCAGTGGTGGTAGGATCTCCATCTTATTGTTCGACAAGTCTATTGTCCTCAGGTTGCTCGTCAGCTTCTGCAGGTCTTCAGGAAACTAGTGCGGGAAAAAAAAAAGATATTGTATTAAAACAGTTGCCACAACTTCAAATGTTCAAGGTACACAGATCTGAAACTTTAACTCATGTATGAATCATTACATTGGCCTACACAACATCTAATCATCACAGTATGCAGTTAAGTCAACAAATTCACTAATAGATGTTTAAAAAAAAAATAAAAACTTTTTCATTGATGACGAAATAGAGGAAAAGATTTTGGGGGGGAATTGAGAATGTTTTCCAATTTTTCCTTTTAAAACAATTATGTAAACCATTTCTCTTACTTTTGCCTACTAATCCTCTGGATCTTACCACTTTAAGGTGCATTTGGCATTTATAAATAAAGACAATAATGATCATATGATCATCAGGAACTCCTAGTCAACAGATTGGTGGTTTTNAAAAAAAAAAAAAAAAAAAAAAAAAAAAAAAAAAAAAAAAAAAGAGAGAGAGAGAGAGAGAGACCGGAGAACAGCTGGAGATAACTTTAGTAAAATCACAGAAAATTACTGTGCTTACTGTGATAGAGTTATTTTGGCTAACCTATGAATTGTTACAAGACTTAAGCTCCGGTACATTCTGTGTTTTCTGTGACTGACTGACGCCAAAGTCAAGATAATTCCCAATACACTTAAATGTGGATACTTGTAGCCATGTGAACAGCTTGTCTAGGCTGTTCATAAGATTATGATTAAACACAGCTTAAGTATTTAAATGCCACAAACTGCAATCCTATAATGCCACAGGTTGTGCAGTATCTTTTTAGGTAACATTCCATCTAAAAGAATGTAATTTTTCCCAGTCAATCTTACATTTTTCTGAGTTGAGCCATTTTTAAAAAGCACAGCAAAAGCCCGGCAACTAATGAACACATTTCCCGAGCACTCGGTCATTCTAAAGCAAAGGATCAGGAGCAAGCAGATGTGGAGAGGGAGGCAAATCCTCAGAGGCCGGTGCGAGCAAAGGCCTCTCACCTCCGTCAGGCCCTTTCCCGTCAGCTGGAACACACCGGTCTTCTGCGCGGTCTCCAGGTGGGCTTTCAATGCGCTGTTCCCCATCCCGGCAGGTCTCCGTCACGGACGCACAACTGGAGCAATTGCCTTGGCCTCTCTCGGTTCTTCTGCCCGGGATAATCCAAATGCTGTTATAAAAGCACAGGTAAAGGGCACTTCTGTACGTGGTGTCTCCAGCATTGGGAGCAGCTGGACACGCTGAATGGCATATGCAAAGTTTCAATAATGCAATTTCACCTCCCTAACAACTGAAATCTAGAACTTTCTCACCTTAATCTAGCCTATTAAGATGCCTTCGCTACAGCAAGCTGGATTAATCAACTAGTGCATTAAGCAGCATCGTTAAAACTAAGTGAAAATAACAGCCTGCTGCATTTCTCCTCCTTCACAACCACCAGCAGTGCTAGGCAATCGCTGACACCCTAAATCACATTAACGCAGTCTGCAGCGCAGAGCTGCCCTTAACGCTGTGCTTCTGTTTGCTGGTAGCTTTTTGGGGGGTGGAAAGGGGGGTACTCATTTCAAGACCTGGCTCCTTTGCCCTGACGCTGGAAGCTGAAACTCCGCAGCTCCAGCGAAGCCCCACAGCTCCAGCTAAACCCAACAGCTCCAGCGAGGCCCCACAGGTCCAGCAAAGCCCATTCCCGGGGCAAGCGAGGCCCGGCCGCGGGCCAAGGGCAGCACGAGCGCCAGGTGGGTCCGATCTGCGGGACGGGACGCGGATAAAACCCAACGCGCGGTCTGGGGGGCCATTAACAGCCCCCAGGAGCCCCCGTTCCCATCGCCCGAGACTCCCGGCAGCGCCACGTCCGCGCTCACCTGCAGAGACGGCCCCGGCCCCGGCCCGGCCCGGCCCGCAGGCGGCGCCGCCCGGCAGCGCCCGCCGCGCTCAAG